CACCTGTCCTCTGAGCTCCTACAGCCCCTCACACCCTAACAGTCTCCACACACCTGTACACTGAGCTCCTACAGCTCCTCATACCCTAACTGAGTCTCCACACACCTGTACTCTGAGCTCCTACAGCTCCTCATACCCTAACTGAGTCTCCACACACCTGTACTCTGAGCTCCTACAGCTCCTCATACCCTAACTGAGTCTCCACCCATCTGTCCTCTGAGCTCCTACAGCCCTGCTCACACCCTAACTGAGCACTTTGTACTCTGGGCTAAAACCTGGTGGATGAGGAGATGCAGCCCAGGAACCCCCCTCAGTGAAGGGCTTGCTGGACCAGCTTCTGGGGTGCTTAAGGCAGACAGCTGAGAGGGCCACTTCACCCAAGGTGACACACCCCCTGACGACGCCCAGGCTCAATGACTGACAGCAGAGTGGTATCCAGGCCTGCTGTGTCAGTTCTGGGAGCCACTCCAGCTCAGAGGTCTAGGGCAGGGAGGCTGTCTCCAGGCCCTGTCCCAGCTCAGCTCCTCCTGTCAGCCCAATCCCACCTCCTCCCTGCCCTTGCCCAGGGGCTGCGCCCAAGGAGCTTCCTAAGAAACACCCTCACATTGAGCCTCACTCCACAGCTGTCCTCCCTCAACAGCCAGGAACCCAGCGCAATACTGCAGTGTTCACTTGCCACACCTCCTGGGGAGGGACACTGTCCCTCAGTGCCACAAGCCTGGCACGTGGGACATACTCAGCACTGTTGGCTAAGTCTGAATGCTTATTATCGATGGATCCCGGAGACACTGCTAGGAGTTTCGGGTAAAAAAAAAAAACAAACAAAGCCTGAGGTCAGACACATTAGACACTTTCCTTCAAAGAATGTATAGTTAAATACCGGAGAAATTCGAGGTTAAAAAGTAAGTGCAATGCAGGGAATGGCTGGTAAGGGCCACAGGGCTGCACAGGCTCAGGTCTGGTGACCAGCCCAGGAACCAGGTATAAACTTGGCTCTGCAACATGTGAGGTGACCTTTCTACACATAATCGATTCACTGCCATAATTATATTTAAATCAAATAAGGTTGATTTAAAACCTCTAAACATGTATGAATTCATCAACACAACGCGGAGGTATTATTTCTAATGAGGAGGAAACAGGTCCCAAAATCTTTCAACACTAATTCACATGTTGACAGTTAGCCCAAGTGCGATAAATGAAAAGGTACTTTAGGGAAAAAAACTAAACAAATTATTTTATGTTTCGTGTATAAGAAACATGAAATGTAAGTACCACAAACAATATTTGTACATTATTAAGAATTTTGATGTCATATTAAGTTATGAGTGAAAGTAGAAATCTAAATCTCCAAATAAAATTTTCTGTCAATGTTTCTGCTTCCAAAAATGTCATCTAAATTTAACTTTAGGGTTGCATTAAAACTGGATGAGATCTTCTGGCAGTTTTGCTGGGGAAAAAAAAACAAAACCTGATGAAAGCCAGGTGTGGTGGCTGACACCTGTAATCCCAGCACTCTGGGAGGCTGAGGAGGGAGGATCCCTTGAGCTCAGGAGTTCAAGATCAGCCTGGGCAAGAGCGAGACTCTGTCTCTACTAAAATAGAAAAATTAGCCAGGCGTGGTGGAGTGCGCCTGTAGTCCCAGCTACTTGGGAGACTGAGGTGGGAGGATCGCTTGAGCCCAGGAGGTGGAGGCTGCAGTGAGCTACAATGATGCCACTGCGCTCTTACCTGGCAACAGAGCAAAACTCTGTAGTAAGAAAAAAAAAGAAACCTAGATAAGAAATAGTCAAATAGCACCAATTTGTAAGATGGAAAATATATTTTGATTTAAGGAAAAACATTAGCTGCACACCTGGAAGTTATATGTCTTACATTCACGCATTAATAATAAACTAACTAAATAGCAAAAATACAGTGGAGACAATGGTCTCTTCGCGGCTGAGGCTGACCGGCTCGCTCGCAATGCAGGAGCAGCTCCCTAGTCACCTTCCTCCTATGAGAAACAGCTCCTGGGAAAAGGGAAGCGCTCTCGCTCAACCTCACCTGTGCCCCAGCGGGATCGCAGCGCTGTGCACCAACTTGATCCTCCCTCCAGGGAGCAGGCCTGAAAGGAGACACAGCCACAAGTCAACGCACTTTTTAACACAGGTTAAATCAAAATCTCCTTATGGTTGCCCAGAATCATTTTCATTGCTTAAATGTCTGCGTTAGGAAATAATGTCAAAACATAAGTCGACAACGTTCCCTCCCTGGTTCTGGGAGCGGTTTGCACACTTCGCCTGAGAGTGAGAACAACCATTGGCAGTTCAGAGCCTTGATGGGAAAACCGCGGGATCAAGACCCAGAAGCCCTTGCACCTTCAGATTTGATAAAAGGAGGGCGGCAAGTGGGCACGCACCTGTGTGAGCACACATCCAGCACAGCGGATGCTGCGCAGCGATGCCCACTGAGGCGCCGGGGCCCCTTCACAGTCCCAAAGGCAGACGTGCAGTGTGCACATCACCCTCCTCCGCCAGCTCCTCCGACTTCTCTCAAACGACACGGAGCCAGGGCTCCAGGGCCTGGCTTCACTCTTCCTTCCCTCGTTCTCCCAAAGTGCTCCGGCCACAGCCTGACTCCTCGACCACATGCTGGCCGGGCCTCCCAGCCTGTTCCCAGCTTCAGCGCCCGTTTTTTAACTACTGCAGAGGGAGGGACTAGAAACTTACAGACATTAAAACCCAAATTCTGGGCAAGGCACTGCCTAGAACTTTGGCAGCTGAATTAAAAGTAGATAGAAATAAATCCAACTGCAGTATTAATAGCTGTACTGCGTGTCACCCTGTCAGTTATAACCATGATGCAGAATGCTCAGTGCTGCCGTTCACACACATGAAACTGCCCCCTTTCCCCAGCGCCTGCCCACCTGGCGCCATCTCCCACGGGGGTCTCTGACCCTGCACCAATATCATGATGGCATCTCCCCAGCCACTGCCTCTGGCCCTTGTTTCCCAGGACCCAGGACTAGGCCCAGCTTGTTCAGAGAACACTTCATAAAAAACTGAAAGAAAACTGTGGTGCCAGCCTGCCAATAGCCGCTCATCTGACGCCTATATGGAGCCACCCTGAACTGCTAGTCGGTCTGACTGTAGTGCCTTCTCTTCCTCAAGGCAATGCGGGAACATGGTTGGAGTTTGGGTAAGTGGTTCAATAGATAAAGGGTGTTTTTATATAGCAACACTTAAAAACGAAATACACGCTGGCCTATGGTATCTTCTTTATAACTCTCTCATATATACTACCAAACATTTTTATACAAATACATTTTATGCAAAATAATTTTGTCTCCATAGCCAGATTACCACCTAACTGTGGACAGAATATCTTTAACTCCTTAGTATCACCCACAATTGCTTGAAAAATGTCTCATGTAACACGTTAACAGCAGAGCCAGCCTCCAGATGGGTGCTGAGGCCCACAGGACCCTGGGCACCAGGGGCAGCGCCAGTCTCAGGACCAGCGGGGGGAGTCTGGCCCAACGCCAACCTACACCAGTGACCTGTGTGCGCTGAGGAGGAGGGACCAGGGAACCTCAAAAGCTCCCTCCAGCTCTGACGTTCTGAGTGTCTACCAGCAACCTGCAAGTCTAGGATGCAGGAGGACCACCCAGAGCAGAACAGTTTCATAATGAGCAGAGGATGCTACATAATGAAAACACTGAGAAAAATGGTTACTCCACCTAGGAATACTCACCAGTGAAATTAATAAAAGCTCAGTCTTACTTGTGTTAAAGTTAGAGTCTACAGTAACCTCTAAGTGCCATCAGCGGTATTTCTGTTTTGACAGGAATCATGCGGTATTTGCTCCACAGATACAAAGTGCCCCTCTTCCCTAATTTCAAGAAATTGGGAACAAAGTCAGCCTCACCCCATCACATTTTTTGCCAGATCTACCCAGGGACACACCCCGACACCAACAAGGTGAGCAGGGCTCCTCGTCAGAAGCTATGGGAAGCAATGAGGTGATTGGAAAGTGGCATTTAGAACATGGATAACCTCTGCCATAGGACGCACCAGGACTGGATCATTCCACGTCGCCTGAGCCCCTTTGGGAAGTGAAAACCACACTCCATGGCATCAAAGCACGAACTGCAGGAGACAGGGTTGTTTTCACCCTGGTAGCTTCTGCTCCCCCAGATTTGGGGACTTTACCACGCCAGGCCTGGGGATCTCAGGAGCCGTGTGTGGGACACGCCCTGGAGTGATGAATCCGACAGCAAAGGAAGAAAGCCTGACTCGGGGCGCTCGCAGATACAGAAACCTTCTGATGTACCTTCCAGAATAGAACGACACCCAGCTATCAGCGGAACTCGCTAACCCTCACTAAAGCAAAAACGTTCCCTCTGAGTGTCATTTGATCATTCTCCTTAACAGAGGGGCCTGTTCGATAGTCAATACATGACAGATAACTTTACAGTTCATTTTTCAGGTAGCTAATTATATATTTTTCAAAGCAGTTATTGGTACCTGTAGTCTCTATTCATTTTAGAAAACACTGACTAAAATCAGTCTATTTAATAGTTACCTAAATCACTTATTGAACCTGCCATGTCCGCCTTTGGCAATTCAACAACCACCTAAAAGAAGAACATTGAAGATGAATATTGAGACAGAAAAAAAGACTGATCATTAAGTTTAGAATTAGTATTTTGATGTTAACTGCTCTTTTCTCTCTCTCACACTCCTCCTGCAGTGACTTAATCAACAGCCACGGCCTCGGTCCACCAGGGTGAGGCTGCCGCTGTCCTTCCCCAGCCGGCGCTGTCGGTTCCTGTCCAACCCCCCAGGCCTGTGAGGTTCCCACTGAGCTGCCGTGGAAAGGCCCCACTGGCAGAGTATAAATCCCGTCTCCCTCCTCACGGCGAGGGGACGCCGTGCTCCGTCTCTCATCCAGCCGGTCCCCCCGACTCCCCGGCTCAGGTGCTGTCTCCCCCAGACCTCTTGCTTTATTCAGGACCCGTGTGTGTGCACACACCCAGGCCACCTACTCACCCACATGTTGAGAATCCCGCTCTCGTCCAAGGACGCGATGTGGAATGACAAACCTGACATTTCTAATGAAGACAGAAACAAAAAGAAAGAAGTGGCTTTACATAAGGAAACCACATTTCACAACATTGACTTAAGAATTTTAAGAAAGTGAAGGATCATGTACCTTCTTGAGTAGAAAAAGGTGAAAGCACCAAGCTCTGTTTTTTGTAGACGGAGGTTGAGACAGGCTCTATTGCTTGCAGAGGACTTTGGTGGTTTACTGGTGTAAGGATTCCATCTAGAGTTCAAAACCCACAATACCCACGTATAAGTCATGGAAACACAGTTAACACAATGCACCAACAAACACAGAAGTGCTTCTGGGTCTGAAAGACCCAAATCTCTCCACACAACCTCCCCAAAAGCCATGGGACCAACATGACCACCACGTCCAGCATTGCTAGGACTCTTACAGGAAGAGGGACAGATGGTTTCACCCTGTTGGCCTGCAGGTCTGGAGGGCGGGGAGGGAGGCTAAGACACCCTGGAAGGAGAGAGTGTGCCACGAGGGAAACTCACACAGAGAAAGCCCACCCTGAGGCCAGGCCAGTGGGTGCTCACCAGCAGGGGAGGGGATGGGGGGAGGAAGGTAAGGAGGAGGAAGGGGAGGAGGAGGAAGAGGAGGATAAAGAAAAGACACACCCACCACGGTGGGAGCAACAGTGTCTTAAGGAACTGCGTCTCACAGGTCAATGCAGCAAAGCTCTTTTGACCTAGAAGATCCACCTACAGAATGTCTACGCGTGAACTAAAATAAAACCTTAAGCCCCCAACCAACTGAATGGACCCCTCTTGGCCAGGGGGACCCCAGAAATGCTCTAACGTTGAGGTGCTGGCCGTGATGAGAAGGGAAGTCAAACCCATCTCATCATGTCCCCTCCCTTTTGGAGATATTCTTTGTAACAATAAGACACTAAATCATTAACAGGCCTAAATCCACACCGATTAAACCGTTGACTTCCCACTAGAAACCACAGAGGTCGGAAGTAGAACAACAGAAAAGTAGAAAGAAGAAAAGAGAACTATGAACCCGGAACTGTATGCCCACCAAAACTATATTACGCAAATGAAAATTCCAACACACGATACTACTAAATAACTGGACACCCACATGCGAAAAAAGAGCCTCAGCCAACACCTCTCACCATGCACAAAATTAACTAGAAATGGATCGTTGACTCAAATGTAAAAGCTTAAATTATAAAACTTCTAGAAGAAAACACAGGAGAAAATCTTTGTAACTTTCAGTTAAGACCACTTAGATATGACACCAAAAGTATAATCATAAAAGAAAAAAACTGATAAACTGAAATTCATCAAATTTAAAACTATCTCTGAAAGACAATGTTAAGAGAAAAGACACCACAAACTGGGAGAAAATATTTACAAAACACGTATCAGATGAAGGACATATACCCAGGATACATAAAGAACTCTCAAAATTAGTAAGAAAACAACCCAATTTTAAAAATGGGCATATTTTCTCCCATTCTGTAGGCTATTTACTCTGTTGATTATTTCCTTTGCTGTGCAGAAACTTTTTAGTTTAATTAGGTACCATTTATTTATTTTTGTTGTTGCTATATTTGCTTTTGGGGTCTTACACACAAATTCTTTGCCTAGGCCAATATCTAGAAGAATTTTTCCTACTTTTTCCTCTAGAATGTTTATGGTTTCAAGTCTTACATTTAAGTCTTTAATCCATCTTGAGTTAATCTGGTGAGAGACAGGGATCTAGTTTCATTCTTTGGTATGTGACTGTCCAGTTTTCCCAGCAGCCTTCCCCAGTGTATGTTTTTTGTCTGCTTTGTCGAAGATCAGTTGGTTGTAGCTATGTTGTTTTATTTCTGGGTTCTCCATTCTGTTCCAATGGTCTGTGTGTCTACCTTTATACCAGGACCTTGCTGTTTTGGTTACTACAGCCTATAGTATAATTTGAATGCAGTCAGGTAAAGTGATGCCTCCAGATTTGTTCTTTTTGTTTAGGATTGCTTTGGCTATTCAGGCTCTTTTTCAGTTCCATATGAAGTTCAGGATTACCAACAAAGGGCTAATATCCAGAATCTACACAGAACTCAAACAAATCAGCAAGAAAAAAACAAATAACTCCATCAAAAAGTAGACAAAACTCATGAGCAGTCTTTTCTCAAAACATAGACAAATGGCCAACAAACATACAAAAATGCCCAACATCACTAATCATCGGGGAAATGCAAATTAAAACCATAATGGGATACCACCTTATCCCTGTCAGAACTGCCATTATTAAAAAGTCAAAAAACAATAGACGTTGGTGCGGTTGCGATAAGAAAGGAACATTTATACACTGCTGGTGGGAATGTAAACTAGTACAACCTCTATGGAAAGCAGTGTGGAGAGTCTGCAAAGACCTAAAGTAGACCTACCACTTGATCCAGAAATCCCACTGCTGGGAATCTACCCAAAGGAAAAGAAATCATCATATCAAAGACACACCTGCACTCAAATGCTTATTGCAGCACAATTCACAATTGCAAAGATATGGAATCAACCTATGTGCCCCCAAACTGATGAATGGATAAAGAAAATGTGGTATATATTAAATATATATAACATGGAGTACTACTCAACTGTAAAAAGGAATGAAATAAGGTCTTTTGCAGCAACTTGGATGGAACTGAGACCATTATCCTAAGTGAAGTATCTCAGGAATGGAAAAACACCACATGTTCTCACTGATAATTGGGAGCTAAATGAGAGATATATATGGTCATAATGTAATGGACTTTGAAAACTAAGAAGTGGGGAGGGTGGGAGGGAAGTGAAGGATAAAAATCTGCCTATCAGGTACAATGTACTATTTTGGTGACTGGTACACTGAAAGCCCTGACTTCAGCATGGTACAATTCATCCATGTAACGAAAAGCACTCGTATTCTGTAAATTTTTTAAAATGAAAAAAAAAAAGGGCAAAGATTTAAACAGACACCACCAACAAAGATATACTGATGGCAAATAAACTCACCAAAATATGTTCAGCATCATTCATCACTAGGGAATGATAGTTACAGCCACAATGAGATACTACTACATGCCTATTAGAATGGCTAAAATTTTCTTTAAAAAAACTGTTAACACTCAGCGCTGGTGAGGATGCAGAGTAACTGACTCTCAAACTTTGCTGGGAATGCAAAATGACACAAGCACCTGGACGCAGGCACTTTGGTACAGAAATAACTGGAAGTGACCAGATGTCCACCGAGTGGGGAATGGATACGTGGACTCGGGGCACTGACACAAGGGAGCTACTCTCTGAATAAGGAATGAACTTCTGCAGCGTGCGGCAAAGGGAGCAATCGCAAATGCATCGTGTTACTGGATGATTCCATTTATTTGACATCTGGAAAATGCGAAACTATAGGGACAGAATACAGATCAGTGGGAAAAGAGAGACGAAGAAATCAAGTGTTAGTGGGGTGTGGCGGCTCCTGTGCAGGGACAGAGGACAGACAGACCAGGCAGGGCGTGAGAGAGGGAAGACCTTCCCCTGCACTTCGCTCTGCGGGGCTCCCTACAGGAAGGCGCCGGTGCAAAGGGTGCGGAGTCCAGGCGGCACTGGGTCTGCGTGCAGGCCCCACCCAGGTTGTCCGAGACCTCAGACAAACGTGTCACGTCCCAAGCAGCCAGCATACAGGCTACGAGGAGAATGAAACGAGCTGTGCACACTAGGCACTTAGATGAAGCCCCACAACCTTGGAAATGCTCATACTTGTGGTGGGTGGGGGTCTGGCATGGCACAAATTGCTCACCTGAGTTGAACTGTGGGTCCTGGAGGTCTAGTGGTTCTGGTTCCTGTCATCCCCCGAGAGGCAACTAATTCTACTTACTAGTTCTTCAAGCATTAGTTAGCTCTGCCACAGGAGAATACACACACCAAGATGCCTTAAGCTAATTTAAAAACTGTAAGTTATTTCATTGAGGATTTTTGGGAATCCACAAATTTAACAAGAAAAAAAAATTCCCATCATTGCAGGCCCCTGGATAAGCATTACTTGAATGGATTTTTGTCTTTTCTATCCATTAAATGCCTCTTTTGCCCATGGGTCAGATCCCATCCTCTGGGATAATCTGAATGAATAAATGCTAACAACTGTAAAATTCTGTTCCCCACATCCTGTCATGGCTTTTCTAGAAGACACACCATCGGCAGACAGATGACACCAACCAGTAGAAAATGTTGACGTCCTGAACGTCCAGAAACAATCGTTCAGCTTCACATAATGATGTATCCTGGAGTCTTCTCTTAAATCCCACACGGCGACCGAGCCGTGCACTGTTCCGGCAAAAAGCAGAAATGCTTTAAAGGGGCTAAAGCAGCAGCACGTGACCTGAAAACCAAACACACAGAAAGCTGACGACTGAGAACAAGAGAGCCATGTTCGCAGAAGCTGAGTGCACTGCCGCGGCAGGTGACCCTTTTCACTTCACACGGGCCTCCCATGTGGAACGCAGCAACTAGAATTTTGTATATAAATAAAATTTAACCCGTCTGCATGTTGGCTTCCTCACATGGAACACGGGGATGACAAACCCACCCTGCAGGACTGCTAGGATCACAAATGTGAGGTGGCTGGCACACGTCAGGTACATACACGCCACACAGCTGGGCCTCAAAGTGGCAAGGCCACCCGGTGTCATTTGCTTACATCTGTGTCCAGGTTGGCCAGTATTTTCGTTAGGCCTACAGCACTCGTAACCTCATTCTCAAGAGACTTCAGAGGCTGCTCTGTGACACTCCTGAGGTGACCCTGTGAACTACGACTCTCTAGAGTCCAACAAGCACACTCATGTGCCTCGTGGCACCCACGGCAGAGCGGGGGGCAGCCGTAAAAGCCAGGGAGAGCCCTGTAATCCTCACCCACCACCTTGTCCCTGTACCCTCTCTCCTCTGCACCTTCACGGACTGTCCACCACCCGTCCCCTCGCCAAACGCAGGGCTCTGCTCCTGGGCTGTACCTTGGACTCACATATCAGAACCTTCTGGGGCCCTGAGGGCTGCCAAATATCCCACACACAGAGGACGTATCTGCCATCCAGCTGGGGAGCAAATGCCTTCTCAGGTAAATCATGCACAGAGACCACCGTCTGCCTCTGAGCTCGAGAGACATGCAAACAGGATACTTTTCGATCTAGAGATAAGAAAAACACTTTTGCATTTTAGTGATCTGCCAGAATCCACCTTAACACACTTCAGAATATTCAAATAAATTTCAGCCTAATGAGGAAACATGGTCCTTTCAAAACAGTCCGTACATGAAATGTGGGTTTTGATAAATGGCCACAGCCTGGACCTGCACACTGTGTCCCAGTTAACCTTACGGTTTGGCTAACAGGAAATCTTTCAAACGTGGCACAATGCAGCCTGAGACAGCCGCCGTGTCTCTCGCCTACTGGCCATTCCCACAAAAGCCAAGCTGAACACGTGCTCGGGGTCAGAACCTTCCAGCTGGGAGACATGCTGGAAATGACCTCAGCTGATCCCTTTGCTTCGGCCCCAGGCAGCGCACTGTGCCACTCAAACGCGAGGAGCAGCTGAGCTCTGTTCTGGGCTCACTCACTCCCTGCAAACGCACCACGTGCCGGGACTCAACAGCTCCCGCAGGGCGGCAGAAGTGGCCGACGGAGAGCGGAGGCAGAGGGACGTTAAGTCAGCGGCTGGCGAGGACTGCGCAGCCAAAGCACGAGCCGGTGCTGCTGGAACCAGGCACCAGGTGGACACAGAAAGCCGTCGCTGTCCTGAGCCGCATGCACACACCAGACACCTGCCAGCCCCGCAGTTCGTGTGCTGCGACAGCTCACAGCACCCACACCTGTCCCAGCGTCCCTCCTCCTGCCTGCTCACAATCACTCACAGCTGCAACCCTCCGGGGCCACTCGTACTGGCAAACTTCAAGTCTTCTTCCAAGAAAGGTGCCATGTTATTGTAATAGTTGTGTATTTCTTAACCACTAACGTGTGTAAAACTGTGCTACTATTACTGGGCTCCTTTTTGTATGTGTGTGACAATGATAAAGTTTTCCAGTGCTGTGCCCTGACCCCATGTGTGTTTTGTTGGAAATTTTCCGTCGTGTAGCGACTTTTAGGCGCATGCACATCCTGTTAGAGCAGAACTGACTGCACGCGGCCAGCAGGAGCTCTGATGCGTCACAGCCCTAACCTCACCTCTGTCATCACCATGGCGTCCTTGCTGCCCAGATGCATGGCGTGCACAAGCTTCACCACCTGTGCGTGCGGCCCCTCCTCTGGCAGCTCCCCACTCTCTGCGGCCCACGCCCTCATTTCCCTCTGCTTTCCATGCACGGCAAGGCCTTCTCTGTCAGAAATCGTCTTTACTCGTCTCCTTACAACTTACCCTTTTCTAATATGCTGCACGTGTCACTTGTTTAGCCAGTTCATAGTGCATTTGACCCACCGAAAGATTAACGCGAGTTCCAGGAGGGAAGGGCTCCCGTTCGTCGCGTTTGGATCCACTGTTGAATCCCAGCCGCCACAGCAGCACGCAGGACACTCAGGCCCCCGGCAGACGCTGCGTCACCGTGAGCGCATTCTAACAGCGAGGACAGGCCGAGCAGACTCTAGGAAGGCCGAAGCATCACATCTGACTAGACCAGGATCTAATGTGCGTCGAACCATAAGTTCACAGGGGTGAGACGACCCACTCACGGGTCAGACACCCTTCCACCCCAATATGTTCTTCCTGTTGTCTCAATATTCATTTCACTAAGACACAGAAATAGGCAAACAAGAAAACCCTCCACAGTGGAAAGTCCTTTAAGAACATGCATAGTTTGCTTTTTAGAGAAGGATTCCAGATGTATGTATCATTAACATTTTTTGTGCCTGTGGTCACTGGGTACAGAGCATTGTGAGTTTTCTCTGCGGGATGGGATGTGGGAATGTGGATGTCGATGTTGTCAAGCTACGGGTATGAGAATTTACTATTTTCCTAATAGGACAGCTCTTCTGTTTAAGATAGATAAAATACCCTCAAAGAATGTGAAGACTGTTCAATTAGCAATGCCATTTTTGATGACGTTAAAACACAGAGACGTGTACATAAATCGAAATCTCTAAACAGCAGGCAGGACAGAAGAAACGCCCAGGACAAGTGGCACCCTCTGCCCTGGCTTCACGTGGGCCAGGAGCACGTTTACCTTAGAGCAGCTGGCGCTGGGTCACCCCTTCCTGTCACCTCTTTGTGCAAACCAGGATCCTAACTGCTATCAGTTACCTTCATAGTCATTTTTAAAGGCAAAGAGTTTATTAGCTTAAGAAATTTAAATTTGATCTTGCAAATGCAGTTTGTTTAAAATAATTTGAACAATTACAGGCAATTACACTTATTTTTGATATGTGCTTCATTTGTTTGGCATTTTAGATTCTATAACCACGGATTAACTTAAAAATCTGCGTGTATCCACGTTAAGTGTTAAGGACTGTACTCACACCTGTATACAAACTACCGACACAGCTGTGACCTACACTGCTGAAAACTGACTTTCGTGCTCCTCCAATTATTTCCTCTGCTTTAAAGAAACTGAACAATTGGGGGGGGAGGAAAGAAAATAGAATTTCAAATAAACATAGGAAATCTCAGTTTCCATTCATTCAAATAATCTCACTCATTTAAACTACTGTATATGACATTTTAATCATCTTATGAAAGGCACTAATCATAAATTTAACATACAAATTTAAAGGAAATTTTACTTTTGAGTTCTGCAAGCACTGAGTCACTCTCTGTTATATATACAAGCCCCATGACATTAAAATACAATGTAACACTGAAGACTACTCATTCAACATAAATGTGTGGCAGTGAGATTCAAAGCCACCTTCAAGAATGGCCTCTTACTTTGCAGGAAGGGCAGGCTAGTGTTCAGCTGAGATGAGCTTTCACTGATGGACAAGGCGCCGTCCTGAGCCCGGAGAGTCCAGCTGGGTCCAGCTGCCACACGGTCCTCTTCCAGCAACACAGCAACCACCTTCCAACGTAAGCGAGCAGGCTCCGGTGAGACACGCGGCCCTGTGTGACCACGTCCCAGTGGTGCCTTCCCACTAATCCATTCCACAAATAACTGCTGGGCTCCACCACATCATAACAACGAAAATAAAATTATAAAGTCCTTTCTGCACAATACAGGAAATAATAAATACATTTCAAATTATGATAAACTCAGTAACAGAGCAATTATTTAATCCTACTTGCTGTTTCTTATACTACATACGCTGCTAAAACTCACAGGAGGAAAAAGGCTGTATAGCAAAGACAAAAACTGAACAAAGTAGTGGAAACCATCATGCAAACTCCCTTTTATTTTCAGTGGGTTTTAGCTAAAATCAGAACTGAGCAGTAAATTGCTGTAATTGCTCCAATAGGGTCATCTGTAGGATTTTACAGGGAAAAGGTAAAATATTGGTAGAACGCACAGGACTGGTATGAAAAAAAGGAGACACATTCAGTGTGATGGACAGGATGGAGTGAGGAAAACAAAGAATGTTTAGCGAGAACGGACAGGATGGGATTGAGGAAGGTGAAGGGTGTTCAGCGGGAACCAACAGGACGGGAGCGGGGACACAGGGGTGCTCGGCGGGAACTGACGGGACAGGAGCGGGGACACAGGGGTGTTCGGCAGGAACTGACGGGACGGGAGCGGGGACACAGGGGTGTTCGGCGGGAACCGACGGGACGGGAGCGAGGACAGGGGTGTTCAGAGGGAGCTGACAGGATCAGAGTGAGGACAGAGCAGAACACTTAGTGAGAACTGACAGGCGGGCGTGGGGAAGGCAGCAGTATTGCTCCCTAACAGGACAGGAGATGGCAGGGACGTCTGGTGAGAACTGCCAGGCTGTGTTCAACCAGACAGCGCTGCAGAAGGGAAAGGAGAGCTGTGTGGTCAGGATGGCCCAGTGGCCCAGGTTTTCCTCACTCATGTACCCGTCCCGTCTCCCCTCTTTATCTCATGCTGCACACAAATGTTGTCTCTTCTTAGTTCCCAAGAATTCACATTAAAGTAAATCTGATAAAAATAATACATTATATGGAGCATAACTGTACTTCCTTAACCAGAGATTCCTCCATGACCTTGCTGAGGAAACGTGTGACCACGTGTTCACAGTACGGTCTGTGACGCGTGCTTAATTCAACCTGTCAAGCTCTAGCAACACTGCGCTCTTTATTGTTGCTCTATGCTTGAACTCTGAGCTTATGTGCAAAGAATTTATGAGACAACTGGAAATATGAACACTGACTTCATATTTGATCGTATATTAAATTATTACTGGTAATTGTTTTAGACATCCCTTTCTTTTAGAGATTCATTCAAATATTTATGGAACAAAAGTTACGGTGCCTGGGAACTGTTTCAGAATAATTTATGGGGTGGGTGGTGAGCGTAGTTGGGGGTCAGGCAAGAAAAACTGGCTGTGAGTTTGTAACTACTGAAGCTCACGGTGCCTCACAGCACTGGTCCTTTCATCCTTGCGTGTAGTTTGAAAACTTCTATAACCACTTTAAAAAAAAATCACAAGTTTATTACTTTCAAATACCCTAGATTTATGCTTTCCTTGCCATCTTAATATGCCTGCTGTTTAGTCTGTAGTTATTTAAAATGTAAGAAATTAATATTAAAATGTAGAGGCTGGGCCCAGTGGCTCACGCCTAGAATCCCAGCACTTTGGGAGGCTAAGGTGGTGAGATTACTTGAGCACAAGAGTTCCAGAGCACCATGGGCAACATAGTAACACCTTATCCCATCTCTAAAAAAGGTACAAAAATTAGCCAGGCGTGGTGATGCGCACCTGTAGTCCCAGCTACGAGGGAGGCTGAGGCAGGAAGATCACTTGAGCCCAGCAGTTTGCAGCTGCAGTGAGCTCTGATCGAGCTGCTGCAGTCCAGCCTGGTCAACAAAGCAAGACCCTGTCTCTAAAAACAGTAAATAAAAGAAAATATAGAACCCAAATACACAGATAGTACTTTTAGTGATATACATTTACCCGGTGTCATTTTATACACAAGGGTTTAAGAAAATAATACCTGAAAATGATTAACTGCTTGTGATTTATCTAAGTTATAGAGCCCTCAAGATTTCAGTAGCGCCTTTGTTTCTCGGTCTAGTGGAACTTCAGGCACGGATACATGGAACAGAACATGTAATGCAGTGAATACCTGGCAAGCTGCCCGCAGAAAGCTTGACAGCCGTCGAGTATCAATCTTTGGTACAACTGTAGCATCAGAGATATCTCTTTTTTCACTATCTACAAAAAATAGGTTATATAAAATCAACAAAGTTGACTCTAAAACAGTCGTGCATTGCACATCTTAGACTTCAAAGAGATGTTACAAATGAACACTAAGAGTCCCAGAAGGAAATGTCAGAAAACTTTACATTATATTCCAGAGATTTACTAGTGATTTTTTCCAACAATTGTGTATTGTTTTATAGAATGTCTGTACGCTGAATCTTGTTTAAATGTATTAAGAAAAACAGTTAAAAGAATCAATTTAATTATTACATAAGTTTAACTATCTTTCTTCTCAAGGTGACGATTACCCTAGGAAAGGAAGTAATGTGTATCCTTGTCACACAGAGATAATTCCTTAAGAAAAACTGTCAACCAGGAAAGTATTTAACACATACATAGCTCCAGAGTCACTGGCAGAAACCATGTATTCTAGGGATCTTCAATCTATAAAGATGGAACATATTTGCAAACTGCACTTAAACTGTAAAAATTCTGTATTTGTGACAACAGACTATCCCTAAGTTAAGAGCAGAGTATGTTCTAAAAAGCCCCACTGTACAGTGGTTGTTTGGGATGTGGGATGTTTCCCTCTAGCTGGCAATAAAATTGTTATAAATGCTGGTCATGGCCCAGACTGGGCCTCAAGACCAGGTTTCACTCCCCTTCTAGGTCCACAGCTCTGATGTTCGTGGTTATTGTTCCACTCAAAGGGTACTGGGTCTTTCCACAGTCACATATGAACACCTTTCCCCAAGAGAAAAGACAAAGAGAAACAGCAGGAAAGGTATTAAGTAAAAATAAAAGCAAAAAAATCAGCCAGACTCATGCCTATAATCCCAGCACTCTGGGAGGCCGGGGTGGCAGGACTGCTTGAGCTCAGCAGTTCAAGAACAGCCTGAGCAAGAGCGAGACCCCGTCTCTACTAAAAATAGAAAAATTAGCTCGGTGTGGTGGTGCCTGTAGTCCCGGCTACTCCAGGGGCTAAGGCAGGAGGATCACAGGAGCCCAGCGCATGCAGGCTGCTGTGAGCTGTGATGACGCCACTGCACTCTACCAAGGGCAACAGAGTGAGACTCTGTCTCAAAAAAAAAAAAAGAAAACAAAGTAAAGACAGTCAACCTTCAACTCAAGAGCAAAAAGAAGTCACCTCCAGAGACAACATTGCTTTCTCCTGGATGCTGGGTCCACACTTCCCTGGTCTCTATTTCTTCAGTTTGAATGTCTCTTTCAACACTATCTTCATTATGCTGAACATATGCCTTAAAAACAAAAATATGCTGGAATTAATATTTGGTCTGAATTGCAGAGCAATTTTTCATTACTGAAATAAAAAGAAAATTTTTTAAAAATGACAGTCTTGCTCATGTCAAAAATAAGCACCATGGCATAAATAACAACTGTGCAAAGACTGCTGTGTCTTAAATATTTGAGACATATATGTGTATACAGCTGTAATTTTCAAAAGTGTTTTCAAAAAGCCACATCAAACTATTTCCCTTTAGTTTGAAAATACTACCACCGAGCCTAGCCGCACTGAGTCCAGATTACGGGAGCGTGGTCAGTGTTATCTATTTTGAGATCCTTCAATTATAAGGACTTTATACAGACAAGTATAACTGCTACATACTCACCTGGAACCCCAGAAACAAATCCAAACTCGACATTCTGTTTGAGTTTAAATGTCACATGTGCACTATGTAAAGCTGAACTCAAAGGCTAGGAACATGGCCCGCATTCGTAACACGTCACATGTGGACCACTTATCCACACTTTCAAAGGTTTCTGGAACATCTTTAGACTTTGCATTGGCTTAGTCTCCCTGCGTCAACGAGGACCACGTGATGATGAGCACTATTCTTTATAAGCCTGGCCCCTCACACAGCATCCCTGTGTCCCCTCACACAGGTTCCTACATGCTTCATGTCACAGTGTCCCTACGCCCCCACAGTGTCCCTTCACCCCCCCCAGGGCCCTCACACGGAGTCCCTACACCTGTCACACACGGTCCCCACACAGCATTACACACCGTTCCTATGCCCCTCACACAGTGCTCCCCAGTCGTCACATTCTGGAACGAGAGGCAGGAAGGCACAAACTTTGTCATTTTTTAGTACGTCTGGTACTAACCTGCTTGGTGTTTTTTTTCCCAAAGTTTCTGATGTACATGTCATATTCATTCACTGGCGGTAGATCCAAGAGAGAGAACGTGAATGAAAAGTCTAAGTCAATAAGCCGAAGCAGTTTTGTACTTCGTGTCCTTTAAAATAAGTTGGAGATGAGACAAAAGTTAAATTGAATAATAATATATATAGGGGAGCGTAGATAGAATGGAAGGAACCTCATGGTTAAATGCAGGTTATCGTCAGGGACCTGACTCTTGTTTGGGTATGAGTCTGAGGTATCTAATAGTCGTTAAAAATAACTAAAAGACAGTCATGCGTGTACCAACGATGTGAGCGTATCATGAACCAAATGTGTGATTATCCCAATGCGGTGCACTTGAGGTTAATACAAAATACAGTTATGACACACGTGTGCGTGCAGTTTTCATGAGCAGCAACTCACTGCACTCGCAGAGTTAACACTCCTAGGCTGGAGGATGACGTCTCTGCCACAGCACTTGAGCTGCGCTCAGACTGCACGGCCGGCCAGGCTTTCAGGCCTCGCTCGTCCCCAGGCCACACAGCCCGACTGCCCCCAGGACTGGACCCACAGGCAGTGTCAGACGTGGCTAATCACCCACCCCACCTCCTCTCGCCTCACGGACTGGTCCTTTTCAGTCACCTGTGCCACTTCCTCCTTTCCTTCCAACACCCCAAACTTAGCGTATTTGTCATCTGTCACCCCCCGCTGGAGTGTGAGCTCATCGACTCATATTCCACACAGCTGGTGCTCAATAAAGACACAGTGAACAAGGGAGGGAGTGGTCCTTCCAGCATCCAGGCATCTCAGCGACGTGCTCCCACGTGCCCTGCTCCTGGAGCAGGGGCCTTCAGAAGTTTCAACTAAAGCCCGATTCATCAGGGAGAGAAGCTCCGAGAACCTCAGTTTCTCCCGCTGGCGCTCATCGCTGGGCTGCCTGCGGGTCCGCACTTAGCAATTGAGCTTTCCCCCTAGCACTCTGGGAGGCCGAGGCAGGCGGATTGTTTGAGCTCAGGAGTTCGAGACCAACTTGAGCAAGAGCGAGACCCCGTCTCTACTAAAAATAGAAAGAAATTAATCGGACAACTAAAAATATATACAAAAAATTAGCCAGGCATGGTGGCGCATGCCTGTAATCCCAGCTACTCGGGAGGCTGAGGCAGGAGGATCCCTTGAGCCCAGGAGTTTGAGGTTGCTGTGAGCTAGGCTAACGCCACGGCACTCACTCTAGCCAGGGCAACAGAGTGAGACTCTGTCTCAAAAAAAAAAAAAAAAAAAAAAAATTCAGCTTTCCCAGCACCTACACGGTTGGCTCCTGCATCGCACCCCTTCCGTTTAATACCCACAATAGTTTTGTTGTCCTGACTCGACCTCAAGTCTCACATGACCTCTGCCCATTTTCAACAAGGGATATTTGCTTACTAAATTATAAAACATCTCGTGCATTAGAGACAGCAAACCGCTACCATGCATTTTGCAAATATATTTTCCCAACTGGTCAGTTACCTTTAAATTCTATCATATTCATGGACTACTGTGCCTTATAGAAATTTGACTTTTTGAGATGTAAGCCATTACTTTAATTTTTTGTTTTTATTCTTAGAAAGTCCTTTCCTACCACTGAAATAACTACTTATATTATCTATGTTCTTCTTTTCATTTATCTTTTTTAATCCAGTTAGAATTTATCTTGCATATATTGTGAAGCAGGAATCTATTTTCCCCCAAATTTCTAATGAAGTTATGCAATTTACGTCTAGTAGTATAAGTGCCTCTACAGTTTTTGTCTTCTCTGTACCTCTATTTCCTCGCGACACACAAACACACAAATGCCGGACTCTTCCGCATTCCTCTAAAGCTGTGGTTCTGGTCCGTGGCCTGTTAGGAACCAGGCTGCGCGTCACTGCTTGAGCTGCGCCTCCGGGTCTCCCTACTCCCCCCATGCCAAAAAGGTTGGGAACCTTCTCAAAAACTTTTTTATTTATTATCAATCCATTTATGTCTCAGCCTTTGGCTTTTTAAATTTTCCTTTTAAAATCTTTAATATAATTTCTGATCCAAAATAATTCATGATACACTTGTATGTTATGTATCATAATGTGATTATCATCCTAGGACCAGCCCAACCCAGAGCTAGAAAAGCACCAACAAGCTGTGTCTATGTGCGGCTCTTCCGTCCCTGTCCCCAGGTCCCCACTGCCCACAATTGCCACACTGAGTCTTGTGGTTATCATTTTCTTGCTTTTTAAAATATGTTATCTCATATTTATGTGCCTAAACACATTGTGTAGCTTTGAGTTTTTCTGAGTTTATAAAAATTATGTTAAACCATATGTAGTTTTCTGAGAACTTGAATAATGTGGAAAAAAAAAAACCTAGCCGTACCGCCGGAAACTTCCATTTTGTAATCTCAACAGGAGAATCAAAATATACGGGCAACAAAAATTATGTGAAAACTGTTGCTTTTATTATTAATAATTGATTTGTTCATTTAGCAAATATTTACTGAGTACTTACTAAGGCCAGGTACTGAGCTAGGTGACATGGATTTTAAACCTACTTTTTAAAAAAAAATCCTTATTTTTTCATTTACTCATCATTCATATTTAAATCTAGTATAATAGACCTTTGACTTGAAATTAATCTTTTATAAATTTCTAAACTTGACGAATCTCTAAATTCACAGGAATCAGCAGCGTGGACTCTGGCGTCTGGCAGCCTTGGGCTGGATGTCCAGCTCAACTCTGCACAGTGGCGGGCCCTGGGCGCTCCCCGTGTCCGTGAGGGGGGCTGTGGGACTGGGGTGACACATGGGAAGCACAGCACTGGCCACAACACAACACGATGCGAGAGCAATGTGCACGCCCATCCACCAGGAAGGGTAGTGGATGGATTTGTACCCTCAGTCATTCCTGCTTCCTCGGCTTCCTCACCTGAAAACAGGCCAGTGACACTCAGCTCAGGGCTCTCACAGGACCCCTGACACGGCTGCCCCTGCGCGGAGCGCGGCGTTGCACCCTGGGCCAGGCCACCCACAGCTCTGTGGGAGCTGCTGGGACCCTCCCTCAGCCCAAACAGGCTCAGACCCTCGAGACAACTCCAGCAGGCAGCCGCGACCTAACGGCAGACATCCGTGCCCAGGGTCTGGTCTACAGCAGCATGTACCTGCACTGTTAATGTAATATCCGAACACAGAGAAATGGAGTGCAAATTACATACCTAAACAGTCCGTAGTGAAAACAAAATAACAAAAGCTCTATTTTTTAAAAGTATGTTGAAGAAAAGTATATGAATACCTTTCGCAAATTTCCCAGTACACCTACTTTTGCTTAAGGGCCTGAGTCCGACTCTTTTGACGGTGTGAAGCTGTTGCAAAATCCATAAAAATTCCACAAACAGAGGCTCTGGACGGGGAACTGTTTGCATCTGTATAATGGGGAAAAAAAAGGTATTTTTTGTGACATTAAAATATTTCTTCCAAGCAAAAAAAAAAATCAAGAGCAAAACAATTTGAAGCATATGTAAAAGTTATACTCAGTAAGCTCTTCACTCGAAATCAGTAGCTACGGTAGGCATCTTTCACAAGTGTTTAAGAGGCCTCCTGCATATCTCATCTAAACTTTCAAGTACCAAAGCGAAGGTTACTGATCATCCACTGTGTGTGCCCATCACACTGCTGAGTTTCAGAAACATTGATGAATGCATAGCAGATGCAGTGCGTCCACCAAAAAAACAAATAAATAAAGATTATATTCAAGTGAGGGAATTGGAACATGAATATACAAAATAGCTAAAAACAGAAACAAGTGCAAATTAATATTGGATCAATTACTTAATATTCCAAAGAACACAAACCAAAGGAGAATGCAGACAAGAGTCTCACCATAAGACTTCCTAACGTTTCCAGAGATGTGATGAGATCAACCATCAGGCTGATGGAAAAGGCTCATGTTACAATGAACAAATCTGTCCACGACCCTTCCTAGAGGACACGATCTCTCCTCAACCCACCTCTTTTCCACTGAGGATTTCTGTGGTTTCCTGTATGTATTTACCAACATACTTGTTTATATTATATATTTATTCCAACTGTACCTTAATCTGTCTTCTCATCCCTTTGACATGTGTTTGGACTTAGCCCACCACCACACAGTTGTACAGAACTCACTCCCCTTCCACACATCATCTCACTGGACACACAGCAAAGCCGCAAGGACAGCGACCAGAGGGTGTGGCTCAGGAAACCCAGACTGACCTCAGCACCGCCGTTGCTGGCTCATGACCACGGGAAGTGATTTCATCTCTGCACCTCAGCTCTCTTGTCATCAATAAATGTACAGGATTAAGATAAGGACTAAAGCAGGCTGTGTTTATGAAAAGCACCGTGCCAACTGCAAAGTGCCACACAGACATTAAGAGATGTCACTGTTCCGGTTTTAAAAATAAGGAAACTGGTAGACAAGTTGGAAGTCACAGAATTAAGACTCGAACAAAGACACCCGTGGAGCAGAGCCTGCACCCCCGTACCAGGTGTCAGCACTCAGCAAACACGCGTTCGCTGAGCAAGAGCTTCAGGAGGTGCGTGACCTCTTTCAAACACCACAGTAACTTCAGTGCACTGGAAAAAGCTACCTATCAAATGGTTTCCTATTGCCCTGAAAAAGGATAAGTTGTGCAGTTTATACCCAAATAGTTCAATCACCACAGGGCACGGGCATTTCACACAAGATAATACCAAGAGGCTGGGGTGGCCAAGCAGGATACAGAGAAGGAATACGCTCCATCGGCCACTCGACGGGGGTTATGAAACAGTAGTGACACCTACGTTCCTCAGCGCTTAGGATGGCCTGGCACTCTTTTAAGGCACTTTATGTGCACTAGTTTATTTAACTGATTCTCCCAACAACCCTGAAGAAAGCCTTGTCCTTATTTTACAGATAAGGAAACTAAGGCACAGAGGTTAGGCAACTGCCTGAGATCACACAGCCAATAAGTGACAGAGCCAGGTCTGAGACCCCAGGGCCAGCGCTGCTATGCACTGCCATGTGCTCCCTCCTGCAGCACGGAACGGGACTTCCACGCCGTGGCAGCCCTCACCTCCCCGCGCACCTGCCCTAGCCCAGCGCTGACTACAGCACAGAGGGCAGCTCAACCCAGCTGAGTAGCAACACTTCCTTCGAATAAAAAATATGCTAAAAATAATCTCCCACATTGGGAGTTGTAAATTCTAATCTTGTACATCAGGCTAATAAGGACATAATACTAAGCATAAACATAGGAAATGGATAACAAAAAGGTTATGCAAGAAAATCAGGAGCTTTAAGAATAAAATCTTGCTCACTTCCTGGCAACCCCAGGGCAGTGAGCTCCGAATGTCATCGTGAAATCCTGCCTGTTGGTGGCAGCAGAACCTCCCGTGTGCACTGCCACTCCGCAGGGAAGCCACGCAACCAGCCCTGGACAGGGCCAGACGCGGGCAGGCCCTCACCTCTGCCAGGACAGCCACCCCAGCTTCAAAGAAATCTTTTCAGCCATAAGTGTGAGGAACACAGCGTCAGCTCTGCCCAGCTGAGTTTGCTACGTCTGTAGCAGGTACAAAATATGAGGATAATAATTCTGCAAAACCTTCCTCTAAATTATTGCATTATATTAATTACTAATTATTAATTAATCACTGATTATTTTACTAGATAAATTAAAGTAGTATATTGTCCAATATTTTTAATATTGTCCTGTTTTACCTTTAATGCTAATGTTTTATCAGAATGCCATAGTTTTCCCTTAATGTGATTTTATTTTTTTATTTTTTTTTTTAGAGACAGGGTCTCACTCTGTCACCCAGGTTGGAGTGCAGTGGCGAGATCACAGCTCACAGCAGCCTCAACTCCTGGGCTCAAGCGATCCTCCTGCCTTAGCCTCCTGAGTAGCTGGGACTACAGGTGCAGGCCACCACACCTGGATAATTGTTCTATTTTTTATAGAGACAAAAAATGTTGCTCAGGCTGGTCTCGAACTCCTGGCTTCAAGTGATCCTCCCACCTCGGCCTCCCAAAGTGCTGGGATTACAAGTGTGGGCCACTGCACCCAGCCCCCTTTAAGTGATTTTAAAACATTGACTCTTACCCCCACGAGTAACTATCATATTAAGATGCTAAGAATTTCCAGGAAAACTATTAATACATTTCTAATTTTGTTTAAAACAAATCCTTGAGGAAAAAGGCTCAGTCCAGAGTGTGAGCCATGATAGGCTCTGTCGGGCTGTGTCCTGAGCTTTACGGGCCCTTGACCCCTCGGTCCTCTGCCTCACCTGGTTCTCGTCTGCCGACAGCCACAACCACTCCTTTGTGGAAACTCAAGGAGGGCATTACCAGGAAAAGCAAGTGCGTGCTCACAGACTGAGCCAGAAGCTGGCCACGCAGGAGGAGAGGCCACGGTGCCCACGGTGCCCCCAGTCTGGGTGCTGGGCACAGATAACCTCAACTGCTTAAACGTCTTCTGTGTGCCCCGTATGTGCAGGTGCAAGGAGCACAGCCCCGCCATGACGTCAGGACACCCGCCTGCCCAGAATGATCCTGTCCCTGACAGACGTCTCCGAGGCTCGGTCCCCAGCACCCTGAGGGTACGGACGCCGCTCCCGACCGTGCATACCTGTCCTGGACTCCCGTTCACGCTCCTTTCCACCTTGTTTCTGAGACAGTTTCAAAGATAACTCGCCAATCCTCTCATTTTCCGCACTAATGGCTTTTTGAATTTCTTGTATCTCCCTTTTTTGGGCTGGAGGAAGTTCTTCCAGTTTCCCTCTGGGCTCGGGCTCAGCACTGCCATCCTCATCCCCGTCACAGACCTCAAAATCATCCTCGTAGTCCTGCAAACAACAAGAGCGCTTTTGGAACCTTTACGACGAACCGACTTTATCAACACTTATCCTGAACAAAACCTCACCACTTACCATTTTAAACAGACAAAGTCCTTACAATGGCTAAGAAAGATTTTTAGAGTTCACTGATTTTAATATCATTGAACTATTATATACACCCATATAAACTGCTGTACTTGTTTCTCCAAAAATAAATCTCACAATATAAAACCACATATACCAAAGCTATTGGCAAAAATAATGCGAAAACATTTGTGCTGAGAATCTGAAAGTGTATGTATGTATATAGATACACACACACACGTTTGAATGTGGTACACTTAAATACAGGTTAAACTGTAAAATCATTTAATTACATTATACGGTAAGCATTGATAGAAGTATAACAAGCTTTTTATAGGTCACAGCCAGACCTAAATCAAACTTAATCAGATATTATTAAGTAATAAAAAGAGAGAAAAAAGCTATGAAATTATTATACATAAGCTGATTTTAAGAATAAATTGATTCTTAAGCTGAGAAAAATTTTAAGTTTTATACATACTTCAAAATCATCTTCAAAACTGGCTATATATTCATTAGTTCTAGCATTTTCTGAATCAATCTCTTCCTTTTCAATTTCCTAGAGGTAAAAATCGAACATAAAACAAAAAAATTCAATCGTAAATGTTAATATTGCAAATAAATTGGGAAAATAAGTATGTTTTCTGAGATTCAGTTGTTATTGCTAATTTTAACATGTAAGTATTTATAAAACATAACCTAACTTCAAACTCTTGTAAGAAATACCCTTGCTAACATATAGGTGTGACAAAAATGAGAAAACAATTAATATACATATCCTCCTGGGGAAACATCTATAATCCTGGTGGCTAAAAATAATTTTTAAAAAGAATTATATAAATGAATTCCAAATGTTCGGCAATCTATTTCTTACCCGTGAACATATATAACATAATATATGCCCACTGAATGGCGCACACCTTACTTTTGAGGTTAGGAACAGACAGAACACTGTGCTCTGTTCAGAGGCAGCCCTGGCCCCTGCCTTCCCCTGGAGGAGAGGACAAGCTGTTCCCATCCTGCCTGGGACTTCGTGTCAGAGGGCGCTGGGCTAACCACTCCCTCCAGGGATCAACAGGGATCTACCAGGCTGTGGTGGCAGAGCATGCCTGGCCAGGCTCTGAGGCCTGGGGCAGCCCCACAGAGCACTGAGGCCATCTTGGTTTGGGGCTGAGGGCAAGAGTAAGAGTTTGCCTAGAAAAGAAAGGTGAAACACATGCTAGGCTTCTAGACTCAGAGGGTAGCAGAAATGTGACATATGTTTAGAAAACTCGCATTTCCCCCAAAAGCTGTTTCTCCTCTTATCTACAACTGCCCTTGCACACCCTAGTTACTGGCAACAGCACCCCAGGACACACCATCACACGCTCTCCGGGGGCCCCTCAGGCTGCCCAGGCCCACCCCACCTCGACTGTCCCTCTGGGCTCCCTCCGGAGCGCAGAAATTCAAGGCCACAGGGAGCTTTGATCTCGCCACTGCACTCCAGCTAGGGCGACAGAGCAAGGCCCTGCCTCTAAAAAGGAAAAACTTACAAGGCATATGAAAAGGCAAAAAACACACTTTAAAAAGACAGAGCAAGCATCAGTTCCAGTGATGGCAGGGGCGCTGAAACCACCAGAGAGGATTTTAAAACAACTGCGATTAACATGCCAGGGCTGCAGTGGATGAGCAGACAGCATGTAAGGACAGATGGACAATGCAAACAAGCAGGTGGAAACTGCTACTGATTCTTGGAAAAAAACAATAAGAAATGTGGAGATCAAAACACTGCAATAGAGGCCGGGTGTGGTGGCTCACGCCTGTAAATCCTAGCACTCTGGGAGGCCGAGGCGGGAGGATGGCTTGAGCTCAGGAGTTCGAGACCAGCCTGAGCAAGAGCAAGACCCTGTCTCTACTAAAAATAGAAAAATTAGCTGGGCGCAGTGGAATGTGCCTGTAGTCTCAGAGGCAGGAGGATCACTTGAGCCCAGGAGTTTAAGGTTGCTGTGAGTTACGATGATTCCACTGCACTGTTAAAAAAAAAAAAAAAAAAAGTAGGCTTTCTGTTAGATAATTTTGCCCAACCATAGGCTAATGTAAGTGTTCTAACCACATTTAAAGTAGGCTCAGCTAAGCTAGATGTTCAGTATGCCAGGTGTATTAAATGCATTTTTGACTTACGATATTTTCAAGTTACGATGGGTTTATCAGGATGTAGCCCCACCGTAAGTCGAGGGGCGTCTGCATGTGACACCCTGGAAAAGGCAAAGCTATGAAGACGCTACAAAGATCAGTGGTTACCATGAATGAGGGGGGAGGGAGAGACGGACAGGCGGAGCACAGAGGATTTTTAGGGCAGCGGATCTGCTCTGTGTGACACTCTAATGGTGGATACAGGTCACCACGTTTGTCCAAACCCACAGGATGCAACGCCAAGAGTGAACCCTGATGTAAGCTATGGACTCTGGGTGACAACGACGCATCCATGCAGTCTGTCGACTGTGACAAATGTACCACTCTGGTGGGGACGTTGGTAACGGGAGGCTGTCGGTGTGTGGGGCTGGGGTGCATGGGAGATCTCTGCACCTGCCTCTCAATTTTGCTGTGATCCTCGAACTACTCTAAAAGATAAAATTTTATTTTAAAAAAGCAAGGTCCTTGTAGCACACTGTCACACAGAGTCACTGAACATTGTATTGAATGACACATACTGCATTTCCTGTGTCAGTAACTACACCACCTGCTGACCGGTAAGAACGACAAAAGCACATGCTGTGCGGGAGTTCAGCCGACAGCGCCGCACTCCTCATCCCCTTCCAGGCTCAGTACGACCAATGACGCTTCGTCACGGCCTATGTCTAGCACCGATTTTGAAACCGTAATTCATGCACTCAGCACACACTCACAGCACACCCAGCGTGCCCAGCACTCAGCCGGGCAGGGAGACAGTGCGGTGAGCAGCAGACACTGTCACTTCTTGGCAGAGCTAGAACCACACTGGGGGACAAACCAGTGGGATGGGGACACGATGGTGCTCTCAGCAGGGACTCTGCCTGCCCCACGGGCCACTGAGTGGTGCCTCTGCTCAGCCACCACAGCTCTCGATGAGCCTCTTGAGAGTCACCTGCTATCAAATATTCTCTCTCATCTGAGGAACGTCATCGCTCTGGTTTCACACATACGTCTGAAAAGTGTTACCTTGCATGTTTCTCAGCAACAATGGCCTGGACCACGTCTCTGATGCTTTCTCTAGCATCTCTGACGTGATGCAGAGCAAAGATGAGAGGCTGGCTATTCACTCAACCTAAACCTCTTCCCCACAGAGCTCTTGCAAAAGCTTCCCCTCCTGCAGAAGCACAAGGCTATGGTAGCTGGCGGCGCACAGTCCAGTGCCTTCCCCTGCTTCCATCACCAAGACTGCCTTCCGCATGACCAGGGCCTTTCAAAGAAGTGCAAACATCAACCTCATATTAAAATCTCAGCAATCCCTTCGTATTAATGTTCTGCTGTCTAAAAGGAACACTACACTAATAACGTGGTGACAGGAAAGCAAGGAAACACGAGCGAAAGCATGTGTTTGGACAGGACTGTGGAAACATAAAAGACGCACTCTCCTTACCATGGTCTCCTCGTGTCCTTGCCACTGAGCCAGCTTCCAAACGGAGGAGCCCTCCTCACGGCTGTGCTGGGGAAAGAGGACAGCCATAGTCAGCAGGGGGCGGGCCAGCGTCCAGGGAGCCACAGACACCGTCCGGCCCCTCCGGGGGCTTCCCCTCGGCAGTTGGGTGCACAGGCTGTGAACCTGGGTCCCAGCTTTGTGGCTTACGCACTGTGTGGTTGAGGGTAAGTAACTTCACCTCTCTGTGCCTGGGTTTTCTCCTCTGAAAATTGAGAATGGCTGCACCTACGTCACAGCACAAGTGAGAGGACAGGACGGGGTGCTGCCCCTACACCACTGACCCCTGTGTCTGACCCAGAAAAGGCTTCCTGAGTGTCACCTACTGTTGTCACGACTAGTAAGGGATGACACCTAGAAGTCACCACCCAAAACTCTTCAGTGTCTAACACTGGTGGCAGTGTAATGTGTTATTCATGAAGAAAACAGAATTTTCCACGTGCCCAGAAAGTTATTCTGGCACACAGCGGGCTGTCTGCACACGCTGAAGGCTTGCAGCAAGGTGAATTCAGTGGTGACGCTATAGGACACAGGACTCAATCCTAAGCCAAAACGAGCTGTCAGGTATCTTCATGATTCTTCTGGAATTACTCCAGGGAAATACACATCACATATTTTACTCCTCTTAAAAAAAAAAAAAAAAGGAAAGTAAAATATCTCATTGATAATTTTTATATTGATTACAGGTTGAAAGAATATAATTTTAGATTTATTGGATTATATATTATTAAAATTAATTTCATGTTTCTTTTTTACATTTTTAATGTGACTACAAAAAAATTTATAATGATAAATGTGACTCACATTATAATTCCAGTGCACAACACTAATCTGGAGCTTAGAGAAAAAAATTGGAGATATGAGGAAAAAGAAAAAAACTCTATATATTTTCATCCTACAACTCCACAATTCCATATCAAGAAATTTATTCACAAAAGAATGTGGTAGGGCCGGGCGCGGTGGCTCACGCCTGTAATCCTAGCTCTCTGGGAGGCCGAGGCGGGCGGATTGTTTGAGCTCAGGAGTTCGAGACCGGCCTGAGCAAGAGCGCGACCCCGTCTCTACTAAAAATTAGGAAGAAATTAACTGGACAACTAAAAATATATAGAAAAAATCAGCCAGGCATGGTGGCGCATGCCTGTAGTCCCAGCTACTTGGGAGGCTGAGGCAGGAGGATCGCTTGAGCCCAGGAGTTTGAGGTTGCTGTGAGCTAGGATGACGCCACGGCACTCTAGCCTGGGCAACACAGTGAGACTCTGTCTCAAAAATAAAAAATAAAAAAAGGAAAAAAAAAGAATGTGGTAGATCTATGAGGGCTGTCTGGAAAGTACCCAGCCATTTTCAATATAATGAGAGCATATTACACGGTTGGGTACCTTCCGGACAGCCCTGTATATCACTCTTGCTGAAGGATTTCCACAATGAACCAAGAGAAACAGCAGGGTACAGAGTGTGTGTGTGTGTGTGTGTGTGTGTGTGTGTGTGTGTGTGTGTGTGTAAAACAAAACAAAATGGCATTCACGCTCCCCAAAATACATACCAATATATGATTATAAAATATGAGAAGAAATATTTATAAGGCTTTTCCCTGTGGTAAGAAGTATGGTCATAGCTAGATATTAAGTAATTCGACCACCACCCAAAAACCGAATGAATAAAACACATTCACATCAAAACAACAGGTGCTGTATGACCTAATTTATATAAAACTACATGGTTTTGTACGTGTGTATGGAATAAAGAGATTCATAAAATTATGGCACCAAATTGTTAAATGTGATTATCTCAGGGTTGCGGGATTCAGATAACTATCAAAGAAAGAAAAAATTATTTTTCAGAAATAATTCCATAGAAGCCCGAAAATGCTTACCACATTGTCTGTGATAACAAAACAAAACCTAGGAAAATGGTGTGATGATGACACAATCTAACATTTTATAATTATTAAATAACCATCATGAAGACAGTTCTCATGGTGACTATGAGGATGGTATAAAAAAAGTGAAGACTGGAGAAATGCTGACACACTAAGGAGAAAAAACAGCACATTACGCTTCACACTACTCACACATACACACACGCACACACACACGATAACTGAAAACACACAACGAGAGGCACTGTGAGTGCGTGTGAGCACTAACAAGTGTTTGACAGAATGTGCCAGACAAGCCGTCTGAGCCTGGGCTTCTTCAGGGGAAGATTCTTAATTCTAATGCAATTTCCTTATTTATTGCAGGTCTATTCAGGTTATTTCTTCTTGAAGCAGTTTTAGTCATTTATACCTCTGTGCATTTGTCCCTTCACCTAAATTGTCTAATTTGTTAGCACAAAATGTTGTTCTATCCATTATTGAAATTGGGTGCTAAAGTCTCTATTATTGTGAATTGTCTCTTTCCCCCTTCAACTCTGTCAATTTTGCTTCTTGTACTTTGGGGCTCTCTTGTCAGGTATGTATTCGTTTATCATTGTTATGTCTTCTTACTGAATAATTATGTGGTCATTGTGAATGTCTGTCTCTAGTAATACTTCCTGTCTCCACGTCTGTCTCGTCTCCTACTGGTAAAGCCACCCAGCTCTCTCGCAGCTGCCGCAGGATGGTTCGTGTGTGTCCGTCTTTTTACTCTCAATCTATTTACGTCTTCTAACCTCAAGTGAGTCTCCAGTGTGCCTTCTGGGATCACCATCCAAATAAACCGCCCGCAGACAAGCCCTGGCTCAGGCTCTGCTCCCAAGGGGAAACCCAATCTAACCTGTAATAAAATCGACACACCCTCAGCACAGACTACCTTACCTTCCTTCTTGAATCTTTCTCTTTTCCATTATTCCTCATTAAATTCTCTGCATGCCTGGAAAGCAAACATGATCAAGGTCAAATTTATTTTTAAATGAAGACCTAAAAATTAAAACATTCTCCATATTAGTGAAAGCTCCTGTCAGTATTTTGATATGATTAAGAACTGCTATAGGTGGGCAAAGCATGTTTCATCAGAACTATGAACGCTGAAGTCTTCCCAACATTTTTACTATTTCAGCAGTAATTCAAGATAGAAAATATCTTCTGTAGGGAGAAGAAACTATGTGTTTTAACAAATCTCTGTGTGTGTGCATGAATCTATACCCTTTAGGAGTTCTAGAAATTTTCTATAATTTTATTAGTCAATCTCAAATACTATTTTATGTTTAATATAATATTTGTATTTCCAAAAGAAAGATTTATCTTGAAATATGCTCTATTTTTAATCATATTTTATATGTTAGTACAGACCTAAAATACTTTCAAAATTTCAAATTGCTTCTCAATTTCTAGAATTTACATTCATACCAATTTAATATAATGTGGTTTAACAGATATACAGAATTGAGCAAAAAAGCTTCCTTGTGCATTCTAGCATATTTTCAATATAAAATGTAGGAATCTGGCCCCCCAAGTAAGTGCTAGATTTTTTCAAACTTGTAAAAATTGGGGGAAGACATTTAACCTGAGTTTTCCTAATCTATGAAAAAATTACAATATATGGTTGTCATAGAGAACAAATAAAAATCTAGGGCTTATATATAAGAGTTTATACATAAGCACTAACTAATCTGTAATCTTCACACAACCCACACAAAATCAGTATTATCATCACAGCATCACTGAAAGGCCACCCAGCATCACCACCAGGGGTTGACATGAAATTCCAGCCAAGGACGGCGCCAGGCCCTCGCACTCACGGCATCTCTGCGGCAGTGAGCTGAGAGTGCTTTCCCTGTGTTCACGATATGCAAACACTAGGCAGTGGGGGATGTGCTGGCACAACTTGTTTTTAGTGGGTGTGAACCAGAGCCAGTTTGCTCGAGCCCATAAAAGGGGCTGAACTGTCCACCCAGAGACACTCTGGCTTCAGGCAGAGAAGGGACTGAAGAGACTTCGAAATGAATTATTCTTTGCAAAGTGAGTGCTGATTTTCTAATTTTGTGTGAGCAAACATAAAACAGGCAAAAAATAAGCTAACAATTTATAACAGGTTTCCAAGCTCCTCTAATATACCTAAACTATACTATCCCATTTGGAGGGGATTAGATCTAGAATGAAGTGCATCTATCATCTGTTCCTATTTACTGGCTATCACTGGGCCCAGCAGGAAAAACTCATCGTCCAAGCATTCCGTGGGAACCACGTCACACGCGACGGTCAACTTAGGGCGCCTGCTCCTCCTTACTGGCTGCCAGTCCCGTCTCTTCTTGAACTTGTCCCTCGACTCCTGTGTTCACCGTTCTACCAAACAGAAAAATAATTACACAGCCACTAATTAGTATGTTCCAATGAGATGAGCACAGTTAGTGAGTGCCATAAAACAAGCACAGATTAAAATTTAATAGGTATTTTTAAATAACTAATTTAGCAGCTATTTTTAGTGAATTAGATAATGTCAGTGAAATGAATAAAAGTATATTATTTTTACAGGGTGATTACACATTACATCAGCAATAAAAGAATTATAGTCAGCCATTTCACATGAGCAACACATTATTTACAGATAAACCTGACTAGTTCCTTACACTGCTTAAAATGATAAACTTTCATACAGTATGTAACTATTTCACAGATCCATGCACCTATAGAAGAAAAATTTTAAACAATCTTCTCTTGAATTAAGTAAATTTTTAAAACTAATATTAAAACCATGAGATTATAAATCACTACATGCAGACAGACTGAGCTGAGGGAGCAGGAGGGGACATGGCCACCCCCAAGGTGAAGACACTGAGGGAGGGGGGAGGCCTCTCGGGGAAGACCACAGACCTGGGAGTGGTCCCCAGGCAGCACAGAGCAGAGTCCCAGGATTAAGTCAGAACTAAGAAAGATTAGTCCAGAGGGCCACACACAACACTTATCAACAGCCTTAAAAAGAGTTAAAAGTATCTAAACACTTCTCTTGGCTTGTAAATTCTACTGACAAGAAATCAACTTTAGGAAACAATCAAATACCTGCATTAAGATTTTCAACCTGCTCACTGTAGAATAATTTACAATTTCAAAAAAAAAGTCAATAACCTGAACGTTCAATGTTACAATACTTGCAAAATAAACGAGGTTATGAGCACATGATAGAACACCAGAGGACTAGCAATATCCCAGTATTAAAAAGTATTTCCCAAAATAAAGAGAAAAGAGTAGCATAATTCCACTTTTGCTTTTGTACAGGGTTCACTTATGCACAGAAAAAAAGAACGGCAAGGATATATGCACATATTACAAAATATGTCATCTCTGGGTTAGGACCATGAATAATTTTTAGTTTTTACACTTCCCTGTATTTAAAAATCTTTCCAAGATTAATCTTTCTAAAGTATAACTACATGTTTAACAGAAGGAAAGTAATAAAGTTAATTATAAGAATTAAAGCTGTGTGGCATAGCACTGGGGGGCCACAGCGGTGGTGACGCTGGCGGGCAGGCTGCACACGGGCCGCTGACATGTCCAGGGACACCGACGACTGCACAGCGTTTGCACCTCCATTCTAGAAACCCACGCAGCACTCGGGAAGGTGGGCGGCCTGCTAACCCCAGCGCCCTCGTGAGGCAGAGCTGGGGCTTGAGCCCGCACTTTGTCATCGAACCTCTGTGGCGCTGCCACACCACCACGCAGCACTAACGCTCAGGACAGGAGAGTCCTGGTGCAGAATCAGATATTTACAAGAGACGTCTGAAGTCACTACTTCCAGGAGCAAAAAGTAGCACGCCCCGATGCTCAAGAGGATAAAAGTGTGGCCAAGAGGATAATACGGAGATGAGGTCACTGGTCAGGCACCTCAGAGAACGCTTGGTATATCTGTGACGCTTACACACACTCTATCTCTAATGGATAAGTAGAGGGGCTTACAACAAAAGACACAAAACTACAATTAAAATAACAGGTCAAAAACCACTTAGAAAAAGTGAGAGAGAACCAAGGAGAGCAGTCGTCCTGGTTCATATCTGCTGCCCTGGCCAGTCACTGATCGTGCCCTTGCACCTGACGGTCACCTCAGGAAAATCATCAAATGCTAAGCTAACACAGTGACCAAAAGTTAAAAAGTATCTTTTGGCCACGCAAAGTGGCTCACACCTATAATCCCATCACCTTGGGAGGCCAAGGCGGGAGGATCACTTGAGCCTACGAGTTCTAGACCAGCCAGAGCAATAGCAAAACTCTGTCTTTTAAAAAAAAAAAAAATTATCTTTTGAGTACCCGAAAGTCAACACACACAAAAATATTAATTATATAATGCTCAATAATCACTCCTGATGTTATATTGTATATTTGTTTGTTTGTTTTAGAGACAGGGTCTTGCTCTGTTGCCCATGCTAGAGTGCAGTGGCATCATCACAGCTCACTGCAGCCTCAACTCTGGGGCTCCAGCAATCCTCCCGCCTCAGCCTCCGGAGTAGCTGGGACCATAGGCGCCACATCAGCACACCCAGCTGATTTTTCTACTTTTAGCAGAGATGGGATCTTGCTCTGGCTCAGGCTGTTCTCAAACTGCTACCCTCTGGCGATCCTCCCGCCTCAGCCTCCCAGAGTGCGGGGATTACAGGTGCGGGCCACCCCGCCCGGCCGAAGCTTTTGTTCTGTTCCCAGCTGTATCCTCAGCACCCGGAACAGTGCCAGGCACACAGCAGCCATGTAAATCATCTGAAAGGAAATCCGTTGGTTGTCAGAACAGTCTTTTTTCTAGAATTAATTTTGAAGGCAGTGGTTTTACAAAGATGCAGAAAAATGTTCTTCATGGATCATTTTTACAGCTACCCTTTATAAAAGCCAAATGTATATATGGAGACATGCACAGAAAGGCATTTCTGGGGGTAAGTGAACAAATGTGACGTAAGCACGTCCTTTCTTGTGATTAAATTCGACCTAGGAACGGGCCCCGGGCAAGTTCAATCGCATGTTAGCAACGGAATCTAAGTGGTGAGTATAGGGTGTCTACTCTGAAAAATCTGCCAACTTTGCTCTATGTTTGAAAACATTCATAATACAATATGTTTGGAAAAGAAATGAAAAATTTCTGATCTAGGGAAAGATATTTACAAAACAAGAATGAATACCTGTCCCTGAGCTTTTTAATGGTAGGTACATCAGGAACGTAAACCTACTATGAGGCGGGTTAGAGGGACGTCCACAGGCTTTAGACACCATGTTTGTAGGGAGCAAACTGGTACCTGTTACCACGGCTGAGGCGTGACCAGACAGAGGCTGTGGGCTGCGGGCGGCATGGGTGTCTGAGGGCCAGCTCTGGGCAACGCAATGCGGGGAAGGACCCTGTTCACTGCACAGGGCAGCGCACAACACAGGCTGAGGCCATGAGCCCAGCAGCAACTACTCCTAACAAGACTGCTTCTCAGTCTAGACGCTCCTGGCATTAACCCAGCGGTGTCTGGTTCTTAAGACACACACACGTGCCTTGCTCGACAGCAGCTATGTGTTGCTTCCCCAGCAATGTCAATCTGCAGTGGCACGTCTGAAGTCCACCCCAGAGGTCCCCAGCCTCAGATACCACCTGAACCACTTTAAAGGAAGCCCCACAAAGAAATCGGAGAATAAAACCACGTGAGCTTCAGATTCTGAAAAAACAGAGCAGCAAAAAGTACACGCATGAGAACAAAAGATACTACAATGAGTCTATGAAAATATTAAGCAATTATAGAAATTAAATCAATATACATGGAAAGAAAATTAGATCCTTTGCAATAAACATTAATTGTTTTGCTAAATTATTCACTTAATTTCCACTTTAAAAAATATCAGCTTCCTTCTTAACGTCAAATTACAAAATTTTGTCATAGATTTCAAAATCTGTTAAAAGTACAATCACAACATAATGAAAAGATTTGACTTCCTATTTCCGAGAAAATCAGTAATCCCTTCTATACTAACCACATAATGTTACTGGAATCATGTCTTTACCAAGATTGCTACTATTAGGCCACAAATCTGCTCATGCTCTAGCAGCACTAAGGCCACGCTGCTTCTCGAGGATGCCGATCGCAGGGTGACCTACCTTGGGCTCCCTTTTCTTATGCTCCTCTCGCGATGATTTCTCTTTTCTCTCCGTGTTACTTCGCTGCCGCGCCTCGTCAGCAGGGAGGCCTTCTTTGTGGCGTTTCTCCCTGTGTCTCTCCTCCCCGTCTTTGTCTGAGAAAGAATTGCTTTTTTCTTTGGAGTACTTCTCTCTCTTTTCCCTTGTGCTGCTCTTTTCTCGGTGTTTCTTCTCTCGATCTGCCTCTCGTGGCTTTCTATGTCTTCTCTCACCTTCTTCCTTGTACAGCCAGTATTTGAGAGGGTTTTCCCTGCTGTCCCCGTACTGCAACTGCAAAACACAAGCATGTCAGACGGAGTGCGGTCGGCCTCCATGTCCGCACACTCAACCAACCTCAATAGAAAATACTCGGGAAAAAAACTGTGTCCGTGTTGAACATGTACAGACTTTTGCCCCCCGTCACTATTCCCTGAGCAATACGGTATAACAACTACCTCCACTGCATTTACAATGTACTAGGTGCTGTGAGTAAGGCAGAGAGAATTTAAAGTGCATGGGAGGACGTGTGCAGGGCGATGCAAACGCTGCACCATCACATCAGGGACTTGGGCTCCTGCACTTTGCATTCAAGGGAGGTCCTGAAACCAACCCCACACGTACCGAGGGACAGCTGTCCTCTGTCTTTACACGTTATGATAAAAGCAGGGAAAATTACAGCACTGCCACTGCCCCCTCCACTCCCCTAGGCTGCGGTCAGGTATCTTCCTAAACATTTAACCTGTTATCCTCCGGAAAGAAAAAACCCCATTCACGGCTCTGGTCCCGTCAGCTGCTGCTGCCACCTGACAAAACAGCAGAGACTCTGCAGCCGCGCTTCCCGAACTCCAGCACGGGAACAACGTCCACACCCCTCAGCGAGGCGCTAGGCATGCAGTGCACCCCTCAGAGCCGCGCCCTTCATTCTTTTCCCCCTCATGGCCCAGGAACCCCCACCTGTGAAAGCTCTGTGCGCTCTCCAGGAAGATGCTCTCTCCAACAGCAGCGACAGCACCAGGCTGCCACCTCCCCTACACAGACGTGTCACCGCTCTCTTTCTTAATCAGTCCCACCCAGATGGAGATTCTTGAAAATGGGGACCACTGTGTAGTCATCTCTGCAGCCCCCAGAACACTCTGGATGCTCAGTAAGTATCTGGTGACATTCATCACAAACTGTACAACAGGTTATTATTAATATGATGTGATATTTTTGGCTCCGACTCTGAGTTCCGGCAGCACCATCGCCATGCCCAATAGACCCTCACCCTTCACACGGGACTCCTCTGCTCACCCCCAACCAAGCACGCTGGATTCCTGGTCCACAATGCCCTCCACACCTCTCATCTCCCTGGGGTTCCCACTCCCCGTGAGCCCCAACAGGCTCTCACCTCCCTCCTCAGTCCCCCTGACACGGGCCACCCTGCTGTCCTAGAGAACACACTGACCAGCTCCCTGACTGAGCTCTTCAGCTGCACAGTCAGATCACCATCTCATACCAGTCACCAAAACAACCTCCATGGGAATCAAAGATGGAAGTCTTAAAAATGTTAAAGACGGACCGGGCGCGGTGGCTTACGCTTGTAATCCTAGCTCTCTGGGAGGCTGAGAAGGGTGGATTGTTTGAGCTCAGGAGTTCAAGACCAGCCTGAGCAAGAGCGAGACCCCGTCTCTACTAAAATTAGAAAGAAATTAATTAGACAACTAAAAATATATAGAAAAAATTAGCCGGGCATGGTGGCGCATGCCTGTAGTCCCAGCTACTCGGGAGGCTGAGGCAGGACGATTGCTTGAGCCCAGGAGTCTGAGGTTGCTGTGAGCTAGGCTGATAGCACGGCACTCTAGCCTGGGCAACAGAGCAAGACTCTGTCTCAAAAAAAAAAAAAAAATTTCTTTAAATAAAATTAGTCAGGCATGGTGGTGTACACCTGCAATCCCACCACTCTGGGAGGTCAAGGCACATGTGCCAAGAGAAGCGATACACCTGTATCAATGAATATTAAATTATGCAGCCATTAAAATATTATATGGAAATATAACTCAGAAAAGTGCTCAAAATGTATTAAGTTTAAACTATTTATAAAACAGCAAAAATCTAATTTAAGAAAAAAATGAAAATGTTATAAATACACACACACACACACACATATATAAACCTGGTAAAATACATCCCTAAATGTTATCAATAATCATCTCTGGGTGAGAATTAGACAGTTTTTGTTTTCTTATCATTTATTCATATCTCCTAAATTTTCTAAACTAATCACTAAGCATTACCCGTGGAATAGGAGAACAAAGAACTGACTACACCTGGTGCTTTAGACCTTCCCCAGGCCCTGAACTCTGGCTTCTGAGGACAACGCTTCAAACCCCCTGCACTGGCAGCCTCGGAAAGCCCTCCCTCAACCCGGTGCGCACCTTCCTCTCTCGGTATCTTCTTTCTCTGTCTTCATCTCCTCTTTCTGAGTCTTCATCTCTCCTTTCTTTCTCTTCACTTCTCACTTTACTTACTACAAAACATAAAACATATTTTTAACACTCCCAAATTTTAGCACATCAAGATCTTCTAACACCTTGCTACAGACTTTATTACACATTTCATATTTATTAACATGTATCAAAAAACATTCTTCAGGTTGGGCACGGTGGCTCACCCCTGTAATCCTAGCACTCTGGGAGGCCGAGGCGGGCGGATCGTTTGAGCTTAGGAGTTCAAGACCAGCCTGAGCAAGAGCGAGACCCTGTCTCTACTAAAAAAAAAAATAGAAAGAAATTAGCTGGACAACTAAAAATATACATATATAAAAAATTAGCTGGGCATGTAGTCCCAGCTACTCGTGAGGCTGAGGCAGAAGAATTGCTTGAGCCCAGGAGTTTGAGGTTGCTGTGAGCTAGGCTGACGCCATGGCACTCTAGTCAGGGCAACAGAGCCAGACTCTGTCTCAAAAAAGAATAAATAAATAAAAAAAATTCTTCATTAAAAACACATTCTCCAACTCAAGAATGAAAAGTTCTAGTATCAAATTTAAAATGAAACAAAGAGGAGATAAAATGGCAATCTAAGAACAGATAGTTCTTCCCCTCTCCCAGTCTGCTACCGCGGCAACTGGCAGATGTCTGACTAACCCCTGGAAGTCCGCAGGGGCACCAACAGAACAGGATGCCTTGGGGTTCTGTGCCTTGGTGGGAGAGGTACACGTGGAAGCAGAGCCATCTGAGGAGAACCAGCCTAGCTGGCCAAAGTTTCCACCAACTGTGAAGCTCCGAGGAAATGCTCTTCCCCCCAGGTGTGCTGAGCAATGAGCGCAGCCCCCACTGCTGAGGGGACAAAGGAGGCAGGAGGCCCCCGGGCATCTAAGAAAGCCGCCAGGTGCCCCCCACCCCAGCGCAAGGCTGTAGCGTCAGTTCCAGTGGAACGGGAGGCTGATGCACACGGCCCAGGACAACCACAGGAGGGCCCGGGGATGGAACAGCCTGCGTGGACTGACGCCCAAAGCACCATCCCACACAGAAAGCCAGACTTCTACTTCTGAATCTGCATGACAAAAAAATCACAAGGCTTAAAATTAGGAGAACTGACCATTTAAAAGATGAGGGCAAACCAAACTTTGAGAGATCATTGAGACAAAGTTCATTCATTCACAAAGTATTCTCCAAGCACTGACCACCTTTCTAGGTGTCTGGGATGGAGGGGCCAAGTTCTGGGTATATTGTCAAGGTGAGCGCACGGGATTCTCCGAGAGACCAGAAAGAAAAGCACAGAGCCAAGATGAGTCCCAGGGTTTCTGACCTGAGGATGGAGGGGTGCGGCTGCCATCAGCTGGAATGCGTGTGGCTGTGGCAAAGCTGGTTCTGGAGATGCCAAGAGAAGCTCAGTCTGGGGCATATTAAGTGGGCATTGTCCACTAGACATCAGAGCACAGGTGGACACACAAGCCTGGAATTCAGGGATGAGGCCCAGCTGGGGATAAAAACTTGGAAATCAGGAAACAGATAAATGGTATTTAAGACTCTGGACTAGCTCCAGCTAGCGAGGGAGAGGGGTGTCTGCAGCAGGGGTCTGAGGACCGAGCCGCGTACAGGCCACACTTCACAGATGGGGAGGGGGTGATGACGACAAATGATGACAGAGAGAACTCTACCGAGTCTAACGTACAACTATGCTTACTGGTATAATTCCCTGCAACACTGCGCTGTAAAAATAAGAGCAAGTAGCAACAAAAAGAGCCATCTGAGAACAAAAGGTTTTCTCAGAAATAAATACCAAAGACATCAAAAGTAGTAATTTTAAAAAGAGGCATTAAATAGTAAAATAGTTATTGTTAAGATGAATTAGAGGTTACCCAATTAACCCACCAATTCCACCCCTTGGTATATACCCAGCAGAAACACGCGTGTGAATGCCAGAAAATGAAGAGTAATGTTCTCAGCCTTATTTCCAATAGCTAACTCTGCAAACAACCAACGGCCACAGCCGCAAGCGGACAGAGCTTGGTGTAACTACACAAGGGACAGTAAGTAACAACGAAATGAGTAAAGGTCCCTGGTTTCCATCATTTTCATAGCCAGGCCTTCTGGCTATGAAGTTACTACGTATTCTTCTAATACGTTCCTTTTTCACTTACGTTAGCCTGTTTGAACTTTGTATAAGGAGCATACAAATATACTACCTATTATTACTATATAACAATAAAACAGGGAAGAAACTTCTGTTGAGGAGGGGAAAAGAGTATGCATCTTTATCTTAGAATTCCTAGGAACTTAGCTAAATAATATTTATGTGTTGCTTAAAGCTGATACTTTTGAGAAATACTTTTTATCAAAGAGCATTATTTTTGCTTACTTACAATGGGGATGGAGATTTATTGTGGTATTAAGTCTAAAATACATTTTAATAGTAAAACTCTAGCAAATAATGAGAAAACTGTCACTCTCCTCATTGACTGAGTTTTTAAAATATCAAAAAGAAAACAATGATAAGAAGCACACACAGAACCCAGGGGCCTGTAACTTCAAACCCACAGCTGAGACACTTATGAAACTACAAGAGAAAACACAAAGACGAATGGACATTTCGAAAGAGGGAAATGTCCCAACGGCAAGAACCGTTAAGAGAAATAGAGCTGAGCGACACCTGGGCGCACAGACTCACCTGAGCGGCCTGCCCTCTCCGCCCGCTGTGGCAGCTGCTGGGCCCGCGCCTCCCGGCCCAGCAGGTTGTGGTAGGCGGGCGTCTGCCAGAGCTCTTCTCTCCTGGCCCTTCTGTCTTTCTCCTTTTCTCTGTCCTTTCCTTTACCGTGAGCCTTTTCTGCATCCTGCTCTCGGTGTTTCTCTTTCAGCTTGTCCTTCTCCCGCTCTTTTGCGTCTTTTCTCCTCTCCCACTGCTTTTCTCTGTCTCTGTCCCCGAGAGGACTCTCCTTGGCGGTGTGAGCCTCGGCCGTCCTCTCTCTGTGCTTGGTCTCGCGGTCTGGACCCCTGCACTTAGGCTCCGGGTGTCCCAGGAGGTCCACCTCAGACTCCTTGCGCAGCTGCTTCTCCCTGTGTTTCCTATCCTCCCTGGGATTGCCCGCCTGCACGGCCTGGAACAAGAGAAAAGGGATCCTCCAGATTTCCATTCGGCTCTTAACGTCTGAGTGTGAGATGCATACGCATTTGAAGGACCTCAAAAACCCTTGGGTGGTGAACGCCTGTAGTCCCAGCGCTCTGGGAGGCTGAGGCGGGAGGATCGCTTGAGCCCCAGAGTTGGAGGCTGCAGTGAGCTGTAATGACCACTGCGCTCCAGCCTGGGTGACAGAGTGAGACCCTGTCTTTAAAAAAAACAAAACCACAGCAAAAACCCCACATTGGATTCAACCACTGCCCAGTCCCAGCAAGAGCGGGTCTGACTGGGTGTTCTTAGACACTAAAGGACTTGGCATCACACTCGGCATTTCTACAGCTGCCCACTGGCACCCCACAGATAGAAAAAGAGATACTGAGGCTGTGTGGTAAAGTCACTGTGACAGGGACCGCCTGTGTCCTACAGAAAGCACTGTGTCCTTAAAAGAAAACTCTCCGGAGGACTTGACCTCAAGCCCCTACCCCCGCCCCACCCTCCAAACCGCTGAACTGAGATCTGCTCGCCCCAGAGCAATGCAAGGACGCCCAGGGCCATGACAAGGCCCCCTGAGCTGGTGGGGCATCAGGCTGGACTAACACACGTGACCCGCTGTGGTTCCAGAGGGATTAACCACACGGCTTCATCTTTGAGTCAAAACACCTCTGAAATGAGCCACAGGTAACCAAAGTCGTGCAGCATTGTGAACCGGGCATAACTGTCCAGGGAAACCATGCAGGCTCCCACGGGGTCGCAACTTAAATCCTCAAAATACATTACCCGTAGGTGTCTCCTCAGGTCCTCCGCTTCCCAAGTGTCCTCTTTGGTTCTTCTCTAAATAGGAAAAAGTATAAAGTCAGGATTTTTAAAGTTTAAAATAATTAATTGTATGTGCTCTGGTAAGCTGCTTTTTCATTAGGTCATCTAAATCAGTGGCGATTAATTCTGGACATGCCAGAAAATACTTGTCCACCTACTGGAATAAAAGGTAATAGAAGTATTATTCAGTAGTCTGAAAATGACCCACACTTATAGAATGCATCCCTTTGGCTGCTTCCAAAACAAATATTACAAAATAAAAGTGAAAACAAGTCACAACAGCAGTTGAACAACAGATCGAGGACAAGTGCTTTGTGGGTTTAAGACACACGGTGCCAGCCCAAACTGTGCCTGTGCTCCTTGGGCTGCAGGGGGGCTCCTCCCGGGACGGAGGGCGCTGCAGGGCTTGCGTGTGGTACCCACCGCTCCAGGGACCCGCCGTGAGGGACAGAGGCAGCTCCAGGGGGCAGGCGGCCTGCGCAGGTGTCCCAGCCCAGGGCCAGCCATGGGCCCACACGCCACCATCACTGGCTACACAGGAGGGGCGAGATTCCAAATGACCCGAGACATCTGAGGAGTACCCGCCCCAAACCCAGAGCCTCCCCCGCCGAGGCCCCGGTGTTGGGAGCAGAGTCAAGCCTCCCTGCGGCAAGTTGTTGGGTTCCTCATCCACAGATATGTGGGCAGAATCAAAAGGCTGCTGTTGTTTTCAACAAGGCAATAGCCCCTGGGATGCGTGGGTGGCAGACAACATGCATACAGCATGTGATGCACACCAGATGCTACACGGAGCCTAACACGTTATCTCAATCTCACAGGCCTACTAGGAAGGCTAAAGACTCCACAAACGAGGAAACTGAGGCACAGAGAAGCTCAACAGCTTTCATTTCCAAAGTCTTGCACACGGCCAGGCACAAAACAGGAACTGAATAAATATCTGTGGAATGAATAAAAACAGGGAAAGGCTGCCTGTGTCCTCTGACCCCTGGGGAAGTGGGCAGCCACAGCTCCCAAGAACCCTTGGGCTGACTCAGCAAACACACGCCCAGCGCCTCTTGAACACCGAACGCACTCCTGACACAGGGACCACACTGACAGGCAAAACCCAAGAAAAGTCCCTCCCTGCAAAGACATTTGTTGTTTCTACCACGGAAGTACCAGCTGCGGTCGCATAACTCATCTCTCAAGCACAGATCACACTCCTCCAGCTGTGCCCTAACCTTCAGGAAAGGAAATCTGTCTCGGTCCTCGCTGTCTCTGGCCACCGAGCGCTGTTGGCTCATCACAGCGCCTCACAAATAGGAGGCCCTGGTGAAGGAGCGCCTCAAGACAGAGTTCGTCAGGGACCCCAACTGTTCCAAGAATTTAAGAGGGGATATTAAATTAACATGTGGTGGTCTGAAAATATTTCCACTGATTCTTCAATGACCCTTCCTTCCCAAGTAAGGCAATTCCTCTTCCCATGAACGTGGGCTGGATTCAGTGACTCACTTCTAGGAAAGAGAATAGGATGGAAGCCGAGCTATGACTTCCTAGTCAGGGTCTAAAATCAAAGCTTCCGCCTGGCTCTGCAGGCTCGCTCTGGGAGAGCCCGAGGCACCGCAGGGGGACACTTGGGGCTGGAGAGGCTGGAAAGGCCACGTGCAGAGGCCAGCGTGGCCCAGGAGCCTCCTCGGAAGGCCCCGCAGTCCAACTGAACCTTCAGGTGACATCCTAACTGCACCCTAATGTTCCACCCAGGCCACTGCCAAACTCCTCACCTCCAGGAACCTGAGGATAACAAACGTTTGTTGTTGCTTTAGGGCAACAACAAACACCCTCACCCCCACCCAGGACCTGCCCTATCATGGTGCTACTCGCCTCCTAGGACCACGGCAGACCTGCCTGTGGTCCTCGCGGCTCAGATTGATGCTAGTCTCCCTGACCTGGGCATGAGCCTTTGGAGGTAGAATGGCAGCTTAGGCTTCTCGGACATTCCTGTGCCATAGTGCAGCTCGCCCCTGTGCTGGACCTGCCTCACTGATGACGGCATCACCCCCAAACACACCCACAATGCAGCCCTGCACCCCCAAGTAAGACACAGCTCGGTAACAAAGCTGACCTCAGCTGAGCAAAACTAATCAAGGATGGTTTCTTGGGGAGAACGTGACAATATTCATCCTCACAATTTCACTGCCCCTTTAAGAAACACTACCTTGAAGGTACAAATAGAGTCTGGGATGTGTGTTTCAAACAAGAGGCAGATGTAGTAGACCAGACGAGAAATGAAAACTTCATTCGAAAACATTCAGCTTTTCTAAGAACAGAATGAAATAGCACTGCAGCGTACTGAAACGGTTAACACCACTAGCTCGTGTTTCATATCAAAATAAAAAGGGTAGAAATTTATTTTAATAAAAGGATAACCTAAACACACACACATTTTTACCTCTTTCAAGCTATAATTACTAAATTTCATGATAATAATAAACTCACACATTACCAATTGTTTGGTACGTAACAGTAAATTTAGAAATTTGTAAAATTTTCATTGAGCATAAAAATTAATACGAGTCATACACACTGCAAGCAAGATAAAGTGTTTTTAAAGAGCTACTACTGAAAAAAACTGTCACCACTCTTATCAAGCAGATGTAAAGTGTGCAAACACAGCATAAACTTTTTCTAATAGCTATGACACACAGAAACTTGGTATGATTTTAGTGCAAATAAAGAACACAAAACTGCTTACATTAGCAATATCAATTATGTGAGCGAATAATTATATTGAAACAGACCAAAGGAAAAGCTTAGTGTAAAATAAAAAGTATAATAAGCAATACCAAAAAGGTACAATTTTATTCCAATAACCTCATGAAACCTTTATCTTTCCCCTTACTTTATGAAATAAACTATACTAATCAATTCTATATAATGCTATAATAATTACATACTTAAGTTCTATAGACCAGTGGGCTAACTTCATAAAAAGTTAATGACCAATTTGCAACTTGAAAATGTATTATAGGTATTCATTAGTTGCCAGGAAATATCCATCCCTGAAGTCTGTTGCTTTTTCTACTTTAATGTTTATTTATTAAATGTGTATCAGAATAAAACCCCTAGGAGTGATCAAATGTCAAAAAAATAATGAACGGAAAAACACCCACAATAGACAAACTGCCATATATTAATATATTCAGAACACCACAGATAAAGATTATAAATCTTCTGGAGAAAAGAAAATGTTACTTATAAAGATATCTCACCAGCCAAAATCACTGGTTTTAGAACAAAGTGTAATGCCTTCGAAGTTCCAGGAAAATTATTTTGATCCTAGAATTCTATGCTGAGCCAAACTCTTAAACAAGTATATCAGTATAATAAAGATAGTCTTAAAGTTTCTCCTCCTATATACTCATTGAAAAAGGTATATTGGGATATATTCCAGGGTGGGGGCAAAGAGAAGGGATTTCAAGAATGAGAAAGATACTAGATCCAAGGAAGAGGAGGCCTAGCCCAGAAGTAAAATGAGAAGGAATTCTCAGATGATAGCTCTGTGCAGGTCTAGAAAACAATTAGTCCCAATGAGAAGAGAAAGTCAGTGAGCTCTGGGAAGAATGTTTTTTAAACTGGGTTTCATTAAACAGATAATATTACTGATTAATAAACTAGAAGACATATCAATGAAGTTTAAAAATAAAAAAGAGCATATGTTATTTTTTGCAAAAAAAAAAATCCAAATAGAAACTAACAAAATCAAAGAAAGACAGGGTCCAAATATGAAGCAAACCACATCGCGGCACATTAACTGAATGTAAGAAAAGGTGAGCTCTTCGACCCTGATACCAGGAACACTGGCCTTTGAGCAGAAATAGTGTAGGGACACTCTGCATTTTCTCTAGTGGTCCGACCACACTACTTGGAACGCTACTTACATAATCACAGTGTTACAGTGTGTACTGGTCTTCAATTTTAAAAATCAACCTATGGAAACCACAGAAAACACAAGCTGCAGAATAACTAGTGGAGATGTAAAGGGAAAGGACAGAAAATGACGGTAGATTTAAGGGGGCATGGAGGTAGGTTAGAGTAGGGCAGCAACTTCCAGCCTTCACGAACGGAAGTTAAAAGATACTATCTAAGGTCGATACGACACCAAATACAGATTAAAGAGCGTTATTTAACACTGTGGAGGCAGATGGCAGGAAACACTAACCGAGAGCAGAGGGAGCGGCCCAGCGCCCTGCACACCGTGTCTCACCGACCCTCGCGGACGCCCTGCGACGTCGCTACCGCCACCGCGCGCACCTTACGAATTAGGACCTAAGACTCGTTAAGTAACTTTCCCGAGGTCACAAGAGTAAGGACAGAAGCCAGAATTCAAACGGAAGCAACCAGACTGCAATCGCAACCTCTCAAGCCGTGGCAGGCAACATTTAAACTGAAACCGACTAAAACTAAACACTGAGGACGCGGCTCCACAGCAGCCGAGGCGCAGGCGCGGACGGGCGCGGGCACGCGCGTGCCGGTTGGTGCTGCGGCCTGCCCCAAACCGTGAACAAGGACGGGCTTCCCCGCAGCGGGCGCCTGGACCGGCGTCCTGCGCCGCCTCAGTTTCCCCGTCCGCGTTGGGCACGGAGGTCCCGCCGGGGAGCGGCTGCGCGGGCGGGGGAGCGGGAGCAGCTGCCGGCCCGGCCCCCGGCCCCGCATCCGAGAAGGCCCGCCGCGCCCGGACCCCGCCTCGCACCGACCTTCCCAGGCTCCATCGCTCCCCACAGGCCCGGCGGCCGCAGTATCCTCGGCCCCGGCCAGGCTCGGGCCACCCCAGGAGGAGACGAGCCGGCTGGCGGCCGCACTCTCCTCCCGCCGGGCCCGGGCCTGCTGCGCTGAGATACCGCGGACGGCGCGTCACGGGCTCCTAGCAACCGGCAGGCGGGAGTAGCAGAGTGCCGAGCAGTCGCTGCCCGGCATGCCCCGCGGCCGCTCTTAGTGCGCCTGCGCATTCCAGGCCTCTGGCACCCGCCGGCAGGGGTGGCTCAGGGCTAGCGGCGGCACATATCCCCGGGCCCCGTGCCCGGGCGTCTGCCGATCTCGTCCCGCAGACCCGACAGAAAGGAGAGAGGATCGTGAAAGAGCTTTACATCTGAATAAGGCTTTGCGCTTTGCAAATTACATTCCCGTATGCTGTCTGCGATCGGAGCAGCCCCGCTCGGAGGGCAGGAACAGAAGCCGTGGGAAGGGCTGTTGGACGGGAGGAGGGGCATGGAGGCGGTGCTCTGCGCCTCCGAAGCTTTACCTGCAGCTTTCAGTTGGGAGCCCACGCCGCCCCAGACCCAGGTCCGGCGTCGAGGAGGGGCCGAGGGGGGGTCCCGGGGGGGTGCCCAGGACCGACGTGGACGGGGCCCCGGGGGGGTGCCCAAGACCGGCGAGGAGGGGGACCCAGGTCGGCTAGGAGAGGCCGCCGAGGAGGCAGGAGCAGACTTGGGGGCCCTCGCGTCCACGGCAGCGGCTCGTCGGGCGTCCCCGTCGTCAGTACGTGCAGTGGGAAAGGGAAGGCGGGAAGGGAGCTTCTGGGAAGGCTCTGAGCAGGGCTGGTTCTCGCGGTCCCCTGATTCCCGTAGCTTAGATCAGCTCTGCGGGGCCCCAGGCGGGGTAGCCCCGCGCACCACCGCCCACCTGTGCTCACGAACTCGCGGCCGCTACCCCTTAATTAGATCTTAAATCCGCCCGTTTTTCGCAGCTCCAGCAGCAGGGCCATCCGAAGTGTCCCTCTCACGTCAGTCACTGCGCGCTTCTGTGGCACCTCTGCAGCCAAACAGCGACTTGGAGCTCCCCAAGTGCACCGTGTGCACTGGGCTTTGCGGGTGCTGTTTCCTCTGTCTCACTATATCCCACCGTCTCACTATATCCCACCGTATTTGCTGAATAAATGGATTTATGGCTTTAGAGGAACCTGAAACATTTATTTTCTGAATAGCTCGTTTGCCCATGGTTACATTCTATCATATAGTTGGGGTCATCTTTGTTGCTTCACTAGATGGCTTCTTGAATTCATCTGGTGACCTGAGAACTAAGAGTGCTGGAGACAGAAAGCTAAATAAAACACTCTCTGCACCTCTAGTGGCCTTAGTGTTAGGAGAGAGAAATGTGCAAACAACTGTTAATGTGAAAGTATAAGAGCTACTGTTAAAACGCAGTGGATGAGGAAGTGACACGTCCGCCCGGAATATAGGAACCAGGTTGGGAAAGGCTTCATTTCAGTTGGACCTTGAAGCGTAAAATTTGCCAGGCAGAGAGAGGCTGGGAAAGAACATTTTGAGATAAGAAACAAATAAAGTGTGCAAGCACAGACAGGAGAAAGTGTTTGGAGTGTTCTGTAATAATTTACTACATATTAATATATAACTGTGCCGTCCAATAGAGAATGCAAGCCACATGTTAATAATATACTAGTAGCCACATTTTAAAAAGTTAAAATAGGCCAGGTATGGTGGCTCACACCTGCAATCCCAGTACTTTGGAAGACGGAGGCATAATGATCACTTGTGGCCAGGAGCTCGAGACCAGCCTGGGCAACAAACACAGTGAGACCCCCGTCTCTACAAAAAGTAAAAAAACAAGCCAGGTGTGGTAGTGCACATCTATAGTCCCAGCTACTGGGGAGGCTGACGCAGGGAGATTGCTTGAGCCCAGGAGTTCAAGGCTTCGGTGAGCTGTGATCACACTACTGCAATCCAGCCTGGGTGACAGGCCCTGACTCTTAAAAAAGAAAAGAAAAGAAAAAGAAGTTAAAAAAGATGAAATCAGGCTGGGCCTGATGGCTCATACCTGTAATCCTAGCACCCTGGAAGGCCAAGGCAGGATTGCTTGAGGCCAGGAATTCGAGGCCAACCTGAGCAAGAGCAAGATCCCATCTCTACAAAAAATAGAAAAACTAGTCGCGTGTGGTGGCACACACCTGTAGTCCCAGCTACTCTGGAGGCTGAGGCAGGGGGATTGCTTGAGCCCAGGAGTTTGAAATTGCAGTGAGCCAAAATGACACCACTGTACTCTAGCCTGGGTGACAGAATGAGAATCTCTCTCTCAAAAAAAATCAAATTTAACAATATAACCAAATATATACAAAATGTTATCATTTTAACATACAGTATATATTGAAAATACTGAGTTATTGTACAATCTTTTTATAATACTGTCTTCAAAAATGTGTATTTTACAATTGCAGCACATCTCAGTTCAAACAAGCCATGTTTCAAGTGCTCAGTCACATGTCGCCAGTGGCTTTCAAACTGGACAGCACAGGTCGACGGCACAGTGTTAGTGTAGGTAGAAAAGGGAGACATGAGCAGAGGAGATACAGAACGGGCCATGTAAACAAACGGATACTGACAAGAAAACACTGCAAGATTAGGGTAGCCCGTAGGTGTCACAGAATATTAGCATAAGGAAAGTGAGACATGAGAGAGAATACTAAAACACGCAATGCAGACAAATGGAATGCCAAGTAAGAGAACACACTAACAATAGCAAGACAAGGGCAACCACAGCTATCACAAGAAACATAACAGGAACAACACAGGGCACATTATACATTAGTTTGCCCCCTCCCCCCATGGGCTTTGGACACCACACATCCAAGCCTAACTTTGATAAGGTGGAAAACTGCCCCCGCCAGACATCCCCATTGGTCAAGAAAAAAGAAAAAAAGAGCAGGTCACGAAGTAGGAGAAGCCAGATGAGAAAAAGGGAGGACACAGAGACCGCACCACTGGCATGTGTGCCCAATCGTACCCCCACCCCACTTCTGGGGCGTACTATTGCTTGCTAATCTTCCTTGGCAGTCCGCCTGCATGCCTGGAGGTGCGCTTTTGCTTAATAAACTTTGCTGCTTGGGTGCTTCAAAACTGTCTCTTGCTTTCATTCTTCAAATGCGAGAAGACAAGAACTGAGGAGTTCAACAGCTGGTAACAAGAGGATGTGTTTTGTAACTGGGTTGGGGGGGACGCTGGGAACAAGGCTGGAATGGGGGAATGATCCCATTTGTAAAGGGCCTTGAATGTCAGGATACCAAGATTTAAATGTGAGGCTGGCCAACACCAAGTCCTGACAACGGAAGGGAGGGGAACGTAGTTGCAGGTGGAGAAGGAGTGGAAGCCCAGAGACGGGTGGGAGCTCACAGCCTCCACTGCATCGCGCTGGGCTCCACTTGTGGGCCAGACTGCAGCTCCCCAGAAAGCGCTGTGCTCTGCCCACCCACAGGCCCTCCTGCAAGATCTTCACCCTCCATCCCCCGGTCTACCACACAGCTGACCACCGTCCCCAGTGTCAGCCCTGCACCACCCCACTGCAGACTTCCCCACTTGGGACCCATATCCAATTCATTTGTGAAGAGTTTTCCCATGTCCTGTGTCGTGTAACTTTAAAAATTAATTGCAGTCTCTCTCACTAGAGTGTAAACTAGTTTATAACTTCAGGTTATAGCAGAAATAACAATTTTTTCACAATAAGCAACTTTGTTGCAAAATGTCAACCACCTTCCTGTCATCCTTTCTAGGTTTTGTAGTCACATGAATAGTGTTATCTTAGAATGCCAGTATATACAGACAGGCATTACACAAAGCCCACCCTCAGTGTTCAACACAACAAGACCTTTCCACAAAGTGGCTGAATCGTGAATTGCCCTAACGTTGGCTGTGGAGTCCAGGTGCCTGCGTCCACGACCCCAATCAGCCTCTCGGCAGCTGGAACTTGGGTGATTTGTTTTACCACCTCGTGCTTCGGTTTCCTCTTCTACAAAAGTGGGACTTGGCCTGGTGTGGTGGCTCACGCCTACAATCCCAGCACTTGGGAGGCTAAGGTGGTAGGATCGCTTGAACCCAGGAGTTTGAGGCTGCAGTGAGCTATGACTGTGCCACTGCACTCCAGCCTGGTGACAGTGAGGACTCCATCTCTAAAATAAATAATTTTTTATAAACAGGAATCACTCTGCACAGCAATTGTGAGGATCAAACGTATAATTATGTAAAGTACCTAGCATGACACCCAGTAGAAACTAAGCACTCATTGTTAGTTATTAACAATTTTATTATTGTTTTTATGTTATTACCTGAATTAAAAGCATTTATGGAAGATGAAAATATGTGGGATGCCAAAGTTATAGCCTCCCTTTGTAAATTTATAAATTATCCATCATAATTGGAGTACTTTTTGGAATTTCAGAGGCCAGTTAACAGTCCTCTCTCTACCAATGAAGAGGCTGCGGTGGGTGGAACTCTCCCGTTGTCCATGCTGGCAGCGGCTCTCCTTGACTATGAGGGGCTGTCAGGCCTGTCATCAGGCTACTAATCAGCATACTGAGCGAGTCAAAGGGGGGATTATCCTGGTGGTCCTGGCCTTAACAGAAGGAAGACATCAGAGGGCCACTCAGGATGTCCTGGAAGAAGAGGAAGTAAACTGCTATGTTTTGAGAGCCTGTGGAGGGGCTGCATGGAAGGACTTGAGGGTGAGCCCTGGCTGAGAGCCGGCAAGAAAATGGGACCTCGGTCCCACAGCTGCAAGGAACTGACTCTTGCCCACGACCTGAATGAGCTCAGGAGAGGACCCTGAGCTGGAGAACCAGCTCAGCCAACACCTTGGTTTCACCTTGGGAGACCCGAGTAGAGGACTCAGCTAAGCCTGCTGTATATCCTCTTCATTACTGAGAAGAACCAAAATGGAGCTTGTCACTTGACACATGGCTTTAGTTGGGGCCTCTAACATATCCCGTCTAACCCAAGCTTCCCCTCCACCCGTACAGAGCTGCCTCTGAGGTTCCTGAAGACAAGTGGCTTCAA